TGACGTTTGATTTACGAGTAGAATTCAAGGACCCGTGAAAAGAAAATGACCATTTCGAGGCCATGAAAACACCTTGGGACGGCGGCTCGTTAACTGGCATCCAGCATCTATGCCCGTACCTCCGGCTGAGGCTGATATGCACTAGTATCTCGGTCTTATTATTTGCGAGGAAATTCGAAGCAAACTAGAACATTTTCGCAGTCCTCTAACTTCTATTCCAAAAACCGAGCTAAGAAACACTAGTATGAATGTGGTTGGACATGAAATAACATTGTTCTTGATAAAGTACCAACATCCTGCCCAAATATTAATACAATCCCAGCATTGTAGATACAAGGTTCCCAAATAAGCCGCGCCTGATCAGCGCACCAGCACTGCCTCTGGCCGTTGATTTATGAAGTGAAGTGGTAGTACAATACAACACACCTTTCATCGCCCGCGCAGACAAAGTTGCTCAAGCAGCCGGAACAGACACATTGTCCTCCTTGATCGTCCGCCATTCCATTGTTAGCGCCGGGATGATCATCAAGCAAGAAACCGCCACACCAACGATGAATGACCGATGGAGACCATCATTGTACACAATCAGAACCTCAGTCAGCTTGTCAGCCGGTACTGCATCGACGAGGCCTGTCGCGCCAGCTGCTAGAACCTTAGCCGAATCGATACCCTGGATATGGGGCAATTCTGCGCCGAGGTAATTCTGGAAGAGCGACTGAGCTACAGCGATGAAGACCGCACCGCCGAGCGACTGAGAAAAGAACATGAGCGAGACACCAATAGCGACCTCTTCCATAGGGAGGACAGTCTGCGCTGCTAGAGACGGCTGCTGCAGTCCAGTGCCGATGCCGAAACCAAATAGCACCTGATATCCAATCCAGGCAGCGTGGTTGGTGTCTAACTTAAAGGTCGTCATCAACCCTGCGCCGGTCGACATGAGCACCGCCGCGACAAACATCCACGGAACATAGTATCCCGTCGCGGTAATGATACCACCGGAGAGGATGGCTCCAACAACAAGCGCGAGCACCATAGGGATCGTGTCGATGCCAGATTTCACGGCAGTGGTGCCGCGTACACCCTGGAACCACAGCGGTAGGGTGTACAGCATAGAGATGAGGCCACCGCCGACGCACATAGCGAAGACGACTCCACTAATAATGCTGCGCTGGTTGAAGATGTGCGGAGGCACGGTTGCATCTGACTTGAGCCAGATCTGCACGGCGACAAAGGCGATCATGAGGATCCCTGAAATCACGAATAGCGCGATGATGCGTCCGTTCGCCCAGGGGTAGGTCGTGCCTCCCCATTGTAGGGCAAGCAGGAAGCAGATCACCGAAGGGAGAAACAGTACGCTGCCTAGTGGGTCCAGGCGGAGGATCTGCCGCTTCCATGTGTAGGTGGAGGTATGGAGCGGGGGTGGGACCGCTAGGAACAGGAATAGGACCAAGAGGGTGAAACCGCCAATTGGAAGATTGATGTAGAAGCACCAGCGCCATGTAACCTTGTCTGTGAACGCACCGCCGAGCAAGGGTCCGATAACTGATGAGAAGCCGAATGTTGAGCCCATTAGGCCGACGTAGATAGGCCGTTTAGCTAGCGGCACGATCTGTGCGATGATCACCGTTGCGCCAGAGAAGATACCTGCTGAACCAATACCTGCTATCGCACGTCCCACAATGAAGGCATTCGAGTTGGGGGCACCGCCGCAGAGCGCCGATCCGACTTCGAAGACCAGGATCGCGGCTAAGAAAACGCTCTTGGTCGAGTAGTAAGTGTACACTTTGCCCCAGGATAGCTGGGTGGCACAACTTGTCAAGAGATAGGCACTGGCGTACCAGCTGATGTCGTCGAGCGCATTGAATTGATTAGCAATTCGGGGGACTGCGGTGGCAATGATAGTTCGATCCTAGTGCGAAAGAGTCGTTAGTATATTCGCGTGAACAACGGTGAATTTATGAAAGCCATACCAAAGCAACTAGAAACATAGCAAACAGGATTGAAACGATGATAATAGCCAGCCGTATCCCAGTTGGAAACTGACTGTCGTCTTCTTTGACTTCCGAGGGTTTCTCGTTGGCAATTGAGGCATTGTTCGGCTGGTCAAGCCGTTGCTCTTCTATCGAATGAGCCATGATTGAGAATAGTTGTAAGTGATTGAGTGTTTTGTGATGAAATGGTAAATATAAATTGAGATTTCCAGGAAAGGAGCAGCCTATAAGTACTCAATAATACACAATAGGACGCGTTGGGACGAACAGTGTCTCGGCGCCGAACCAAACAAAGAGCCTAACTCATTGCGGGACCGACGGGACCGACGGATAGCGTCGACACACCGACGGGTCCGAGGCATATATACCACCCGTGACCCCCGTGACCTATACCTCACGATATACGCCCGTAAAGCCCCCAGGAATGCATGTTATGAATGAGTATGAATTTTCTCGGTAGGTTTAGGTCCAGGGTCGAAACCCGACTCCCGACTTTGGTCTAGGCTTGGGGCCCCGTCACATATTAAGGCCCTTCAGCCCTTCTTCTCGCCTGTACTCTACGTATTATTAATCGTGGCAATAATTGGCATTATGCTATCTTCAGGCTCCAGAGTTACTCGCGGTCACTCATGTGGTTTCTGCCAACAGCGAAAAGTGCGCTGTGATGGCCACCGACCATGCTCAACCTGCCTGCGGAACGGACAGGAATGCATAAGACGCATAGGGTCGAAATCACAGGGCCGAAAAAGCAAAGATTCTGCAGTTACCGGAGTTGCAGATCATTTGGCACAGCGACTTGAACTCTGTGAGAGAGCACTTCAGGCCCACGGAATATCCCTCGATGACCGAGGTGAGCCCGACAAGAAGCCTTCTCTTCGTCTCACCAATAGCTCCTGGTCAGCTCCAGAAGGCCATTTAATTAGTGAGACGGCGCAGTCTCGTTACGTGGAGAAGTAAGATAGAAAACTTGCCTCAGTCTTTCTCTCTACTCCGAGAACACGTCGGCTGATCTGCTTACCTTGTGCTATTCCAGTCCCCTCTGGCAAGGCTTGACCACCGAACTTAGCAGATGCAGCAGCGTGGCAGATGAAAGCGAGAGCGAGCCGCTACAGAATGTGGATGGGGAGACGCTGCTGTTCCGCTCGTCCAGCCCAAGAGGAGTGCGCTCACTCCATCCCGAAACGCCGCAGGTCTTCCAATTATGGCAGATTTTCTTGAACAATGTAAACCCTATCGTGAAGCTCCTCCACGCACCCTCTACTCAGCAGCTGATTCTAGAAGCCGCGTCCGACCTGAATCACATCTCCAGGCCCATGGAAGCGCTGCTCTTCAGCATGCACCTATGTGCGGTAGCTTCGATGAACGATGAGACCAGCCGTCGCGTGCTGGGGGCATCCCGGTCCGACTTGATGACTAGGTTCTCGCGCGCAGCTGAGCAGGCACTGGTCAATGCCAACTTCCTCCGATCGACCAACATTCAGATCCTCCAGGCATTGTCACTCTACCTGGTATGCAACGTCCACGCCCCTTGATCAAATCAAGACTGACCAGAGAATCCAGTTGGCGACCCGCCAGCGGTACGATGCGCAGACTAGGTGGCTGCTAACTGGAATTGCGAGTCGCATAGCCCGAACCATGGGCCTCCACCGCGAACGCAGCCTCGCATTGCTACCCGTCTTCGAGCGCGAGATGCGGCGTCGGCTCTGGTGGCAGATTCTTCTCATGGACAGCCGCGCAGCACAGCTGTGCGGCGTAGCTGTAAACGCCTACTCGTATTATTTCTGGGACACCGAGCGTCCGCGCAACGTGAGTGACAGCGACCTGTCGCCGTCGATGCAAGAACTGCCTCGTGATCGGCCCGGTGCCACGGAGATGCTGTTCTGCGAGATCCGATTTGAGATCGGCGATTGCATGCGTAAGTTGACAGCCATAGAGCATCAGCCGGCGGTGGGTACCATGGCCGAGAGGGTGGTTGCCGAAGAGCGCGCAATCGATACACTTGAGGGCCAACTGGAACACACATACCTGAAGGACTGCGACCCGTCGATCCCCTTTCACCAATTGGCTTTGTATCTGGCACGGTCCTCAGTCTGCCAGATGCGTCTGGCAACCCGGCATCCCCGTCGATGTGCGGACCTCTCGCCGGACGACAGGGACCGGCTGTTCTCTCTTGGTCTTCAGGTACTCACATACGACAACCTGACCTATGCGAGTCACGACCTCCAGCCGTATCTCTGGCATGTCGGGATGAGTTTCCCATTTGAAGCGTTTATTCTCGTGGTGACCGAGTTGTCATCTAGGCGGGAAGGGGAGCGAGTAGACCAGGCATGGGCTAAGGTCGATCAGGCGTATCACGACCACGCCGACCTGATCACGGCGTCGAAGACGAACACGCTCTTCTTCGCGTTGGGAACACTCACACTGCGGGCATGGGAGATGCGAATGGCTTGGATGCGACGAGGCCCGATACTTTCCCAACCAGTTGAGCCCCAGTCGGTTGCGCGGCTTCGCGCCCTCCGAGGGGAGTCTCGGGCCCCGTCGCCTACCCCGGTTCCGGTGGCTGGCCCGCTCATGCTTCCCCCGGCACCAGGGAACTGGATCCCTGGGGAGTCAGGTAGTTCTATGGTTGGAGTTGAGAATCTGGGACCATCGGAGATGGACATTTCGCAGATTGATTGGGAGTGCTGGCAGAATTTGATACACGAGCACGTGGACTTTTTTTGATAGCATGCAAGTGACATCTGAATCCAGCCACAATAACTTTCAACGGTTATATGAGTTAATGAATTGTGTAATGCTGATACCCGGGACATACACTTTCCTGGGGTGGCTGATGTAGGTTTCGGGCATGACGATTGAGGCAATTACCTCGAGCTAATACAGCCATTCCCGAGCCCGATGTGACATCCGCATTATAAATGTACATATATCAATACTTTGGTCCACACATGGCAGTCTGTACAAGTTCTTCCATACTTCCATCCACATTGAATACACCATCACCCAAAGATGACTCAAACTGTCTTACTTACCGCTCCTACTGAGTACCGCCATGAGTCGGTTCCATTCGACCCGGCCGTCGACACTGAAGATTCACCCCCAGTCGTCGACAGCATCCGGGCCGCAGATAGTACGCTGAAAGTGTACACCCGGTCATCCCCCAACTACGAGGCTCTCCGCGGCCTATACAACAAACTCATCACGGACCAGCCGCTCGTCATCTGCCGACCCCAAACCATCGAACAGGTCCAGATAATTGTGCGCGCCGCCCGATCCGCCAATCCACCCGTACCCCTGGGCATCCGCTGCGGCGGTCACGACGTCTACGGACGAGGCTGCATCCCAGACAGCGTCAGCATCGACATGCGCGAGCTGGACCACCAAACCTTGTCTAACAATCTCCAGTCCATCCGACTCGGCGGCGGCGTAACCTCACAGAACCTCGTCGGCTTTCTGGACACTCACGGGCTCTGCACGGCCAACGGGACGGCGGGAAACGTTGGATGGACGGGATGGGCCGTGTGGGGCGGGTACGGCCCGTTCAACGACTATGTGGGGCTGGGAGTAGATAATATACTTGCTGCGACGTTGGTGCTCGCTGATGGATCGGTTGTCGAGGCAGATCCGGGATCGGAGCTCCTGTGGGGCGTGAGGGGTGCGGGGGGCAGTTTCGGGGTTATTGTCGATGTCACTGTTCGTGTGTATCCGATGCCCGTTATCCTAGCAGGCTTCATCGCGTACCAGTGGGAGGAGAGCGATAAGGTGCTCTCGGGTCTACAGGATATGCTGGATCAGGGCATCCCCGATGCAATGTGTCTGCAGATGGGCTTTATGAAGACCAAATGGGGGGTGGGTATGAGCCTAATCTTTGCATGGCCCGATTCGGAGTCCCTCGAGGAGGGGCGGACATGGCTCGAGGCCGTGAGGAAGCTAGGCGCTATCCAGGTGGATACTGTTGCAGAAAGTAAGCACCAAGGTTTTTATTTTTATTCGCCATATGTGGCTTGATCAATTTAGATTGCTGACTTACTTTTTAACAGCCACCTTCAAGGCCTTCCAGGGTATCACCACCCGAGTGGTTGACGAGCCAGTCAACGTGAGCACCCGAAGCTCTTCCATTCCGCGATTCACGCCCGAGACTATCGCGCTGTTGCAAAAAGTACTCCGAGGCGATCCCCGATGGTCGCCAGTACAACGTGATTGCACACATTGGACACGGTAAAAGTACACAACCGAACCCCGATTCTTCATTTGCCACACGCGAACCTCACGTGCTGTTTCACATCAACGCCTGCGACGAGCTAGAACGCATGGGCGAGGCAAAAGCCTGGGTCGATGGGCTAATGAGGGAACTGAATGCTACGGGCCAAGCGCTGAAGCCCGTATACGTAAGTTTCATGGGCAAGGACGAGGATCCTCGCGACAGCTTTGGTCCGAATTGGGACCGGTTGCAAACTCTGAAAAATTCAGTGGACCCTGAGAATGTCTTTCGTTTCCCGTAGGCCAAGCTGAAGGCTGCGGAGGCTTCTCGCCTCATGCGTGCTTACTTGTTGTCTTTGATTTTTCCGGAGTTTATCCGTCAATAAATTTACTATCTTTTGGGCCTTTGCATGTTCAAGGGCGAGACGATTCGAATTTACCCACAAAGCAGAGAAAAAGATAATGAATGCACCAAATATACGAAGTGTACGAGATGAAGAACCTTAGCGTCGGTGCCAATATTCGGGTTGTCTTAGCCGACTGTGTAACGTATCCCACCACCTAGTGGCGTAAATCTCGTGTTTGAATGAGACCTTATCTCTTCAGCCCAATATCAGGCCGCCAATACGACATTTAAGCTCTCAAAAAGCATGGAGCAAGAGGTAGAACCTTATTAGCCAATTACGTAAAAGAGCAATGTAAAAAATTGCTCTACGTGCCAGTTACCACGCGGTTTCGACGCATTGTAGACTATTCTTCCCGCCTTTGAGGCATTAACAGTCGCGAAGTAACTCGTGCAAATAGCCAAAATTGACTGCTTTGGAAGAGAAATCGTTCTAAAATTGGATTATCGCCTAAGGCAAGCGCGGTGCGGTTCGTATATAGGGAATGATTACTAAGTGGGGATCGAGTCCACCACGGGTACGTTGATATGCCACATTCAAGTAGGATGGGGGTGGAACAGGGCTTGGCCCGTCGAAAGCGAGTCAGACGGGACGGGACAATCAGGGGACACCGCAAGCCAAAGGCGCTTAGAGACTACTGAAGGACTGTGAACCTGGTCCAGCACTAGGTTGTATATGTGAATATATATAGGTTTTCTTGGTTTTCTTGGTCTTCTTAAAAGGATCTAGTTGGATAGTCCTCAACACCTACATGCATGAATCTTGCTTGGCCCCCAATGTAACAATAAGCAACATTACCTCAGCTATCTGCGGGGCGCCGGGGACCAAAAGGCTTTGGTATTCTCTTGGTTTGCTTAGCTTCTAAGATCCTTAGATGCCATATTAAGATTATTCATAGATCAAGATGGCATCTGCTGCTGTACCACGACTGGAAATTATTCGTGCGAGTTGTAACAATTGCGCAAAGTCCAAGGTCCGCTGCAGTAAGGATCAACCCTCATGTCAACGCTGCTTGTATCAAGGCGTCCCCTGCATCTACAGTCCCTCCCAACGGTCCCGAAAACGACCTCCGCCTACACCGACAGCAACATCTCCTCCCGCCTCAGGGATTGTGTCGGCCTTGAGAGACCAACATACATCCGATACATCCCAGGGAGGAAATGATGGACTGAACCGGGGGCAGCACATGGCCGACGTTCGCTCCACCGACAGGACCAACGCTAGCTCAATACCCGAATCGAGTGACGAACCCTTCCCCGATGGAACTCTGTTGCCTTCCGATACATTGAGCCCAATGAAATGGAGCGAACTGCTTGTGTCATTCGATGGCAAGGCCCTCTCCTCCAACGACGAGATCTCCAGAGTACTGGATACATCACCGATGGCAATGCCCGATCTGCAGCCACGGATCGACGGGAGCACCCTGGATACCGGTTTTCACTGGCAAATACCCCGGGACTCCGACACACAGTTCTTCTGGCCAACACCAGCAGAACCTCATGGCCCTCATCACACCCCGCACCAATGCTCCCAACTGGCCATGTCCGCCATCCAGCGGCTGGATGTGCCAATGGCATCATGCCCGTCCCTGGGACGCCTGGACTGCGATCCCCAACTATCAAGAATGACAGCTAGCCCCGGAGCCCGCAGCTTCGACGACATCCTCAAGGACAGCCATTTATCCCTGGAAGATGTTCTCACAATCTTGGAATGTCCGTGCACAGCCAAAATCGACCTCGTCTTCCTCATAACTACATCGTGCACGCGCGTGCTATCATGGTACCAAGCCAGTCTAGACCGCAGCTCCGCATTCCCAAGTCGCGACACAGACAGCAGCGAGAGCAACAGCAGCACTACCAGCAGGAGCTCTCTCGGAGCCTCACGACGGACAACTTCGGACAGCAACATCCAGTATGGTCTATCGCGGTCGTTCCGCGAGTGGGTGTCGATCCCGTCGATCACCGTCGGAGCCTACACACTTGAACCGGGCCAATCACGGCGCATGATTGCGCAGTTGATCTTGGCAGAGATAGATAAGGTTAAGGAGGTCTTGGCGGCGTTTAATCGCAGCTATTGTCGCCAGAACAGGATGTTTGGTGAAGATGACGAGAAAGGGCTGCATATGGCGTTGGAGGCCTATCTCCGGAATCAAATGAAGGCCGTGGCTCTTACGGCGCGAGAGCAGTTAAGCAATTGAGCAAGCACCTCTTTCCTTTTTTTGCATTTGTTTTATTGTGATGACGTGAGACGACGATACGGCATTCTACTAGCATGATTTACACGGAGGTCAGATTTGCGTTTTGGCTCTTTTTTCTTCTACAGTACTAGAGTGTGCCTTGGTGGGCATACTAGCCCAAAGTTTGTATTTCCAAAGAAAACAGAGCAAATAAAGAACAGGGAATGAATGGATTCAATTCTATGAAGCAATAAAGGAAATAATGACAGAATATAGTATAGTAACGACAGAAATGCAGGTATCTAGCTATCCATTTCATTAAATTAAGGTTCAGAGTCTGGGCTGAGAGACAAAATACCGTGTTACATGAGAGCGTGTCCATGCATACCCCTTTGCAGCTTCTACAAAGAATGGCAACTCGGGCCCGAGCTCGGTCCCGAGCGCTGCCGCATGATGCATGCATCCCCCGCCAAACCCAGGTAATTGTTTTTAGCCTGTCTAGAACACGAGCTGACAATTGATAGTAAATACAATTGTCTCGCTTTCGGCGGAGTTTTGGAAATGTGTATGTACCTAGATATCAGCCTTCATTAGCGCCCAATGATTAGGAAATTAGGGTTCGAGCCTTCGGAGCTTGAGATCTAGGATCGGGCTTCGGACTATCAATGTATCAAGGCCCAACTTAGATATATCCATACGTACTGAATAAATGATTCTTTGTTCTGTCAAATACATGATCTGGGTTAGATTCCTATCAACATTGGGCCCGGTTTAATCATGGATGTGGCCCAATTGGGTATAGTCAATGCCTCGGCGTTCGGTGCCTCGGGGTCAGGTCTCGGGATCATGTATCGGGGCTAGCTCAGGCATCCCACGGCGCCGAGGTCATGCTTGCAGTAAATATACAATCCCATGGCCTGGACGCCAGAATCTGCGCGGTAATCACGAAAAACAAAATCTGATTTGTACGGTTATCTGTCGTGCAACTGATCGAATTATGTCCAATTTCGAAAAGGAGGTCACCCAAGGACGCGGTGGAAGAGGAGCTCTCCACGGCGATCGTAACGACAAGGGCCCATCTCCCCTCGGAACAGCTATCTTTATCGCCCTCCGCGTCCTAGACCCAGTCCTGCAGTATGGGATCCTTCTCCCCGGTACTTCATCACTAGCAGCGCCCATCCTGGGTCTGTTCGGCGGTACTCCCCTACCACTCGAAGCCGCCTCCCTTGTGTTGGGCCTCTCACCTTGGCGCCTGACTCTGCTTGGTATGTCAATACTCGGCAGCCTCAAGGGAATATTCTACTTGATCTATGTATCAGAGACGAAAATGCCCATTGCAACTGCTCTGCTGGTTGGAGTGTTTAAGGCGTTCTCAACAACGGTGAATTCCCTCATGTTCTGCGCCGCGGCAACATCAGCAACAACATCGTATGTGCCTGATAAAAGTACCGGCTGGCATCCTCTTCTCTCGGCTGCCTGTGCAATCTTCACATTGGGTATCACTGTGGAGATTGTTTCGGAGCTCCAGCGCAGATCTTTCAAAAAGGACCCCAGTGGACGGGGGCAGGGCAAGGTATATACTGGTGGATTGTTCCGCATTGCGCGCCATATTAACTACGGGGGGTATACTGTTTGGAAGGCTGCTGCTGGTCTCGCGGCTTCAGGTTGGGGATGGGGTGGACTTACGTTTTTGTGGTTGTTGGCTGAGTTCCGGAGGAGAGGCATTCCGGCTTTGGATGCTTATTGCGAGAAGAGGGTATGTTGAATCCGCCTACTTTTTAATGGGAAATTTTCAACTATGCAGAGTGCTGACTTGAAACAGTATGGACAGGACTGGGATCTGTTCAAGCGGAGGACCCGGTGGAAGATGATCCCTTTTGTGTATTAATTCTGGTTTTCCGTGGTGTTGCTCCAAAACGAGTGATATGGTTCAGCCTTAAGCTGGTTGGTACAATAAATCTGGCACTTTTCACGCCATGGGTGAGTTGCTTCGCTGCGAAATAGAGCCAAATGAAGATGTGATAGCTATTTTTGGGAATCAAAACGATGCAAGATATTCACGCTGTGTGGTACTGCTCATCTTGAAATTATTGAGAGATGCAACAATAAATGGCTCAATGAAACCCATTTGGTTTTATCTTTGTGCAAGAAGTCATGATCATCTTCGAGGGCGTTGCCGCCTCTTTTAGCATTCCCTAGGCTCCATGTAGATACTTGCTTTGTTTTCTAATCAAAGGCGAAACAAGAGAGATTGTATGTTGAAGGCAGCAGGATCGTATTTATCAAACTTAGACTTTAATAAAAAGCTAATACAAAATCGAACTATTCATCGCTGTCAATCAGCGGCTGGAGCCGTTCCATGAGCTCCTCGACGGTAATTCCCCCACCGATATTCAAAGAACGAGAAACAATAGACCACCAATTTTGGTTCTGCTTCTCCAGCTGGCCCTCAGCATTCATGATCGGTGGCAATATCACCGCATCCGTCCCATGAATCACCCCGTCCATAACCACGATATCCGGCCGACTCACCTTCCACTCATTATTAATCAAAATTAGCCGCCGACCGCCATCCGACTGTCGAGCAGAAGTCGCAGAAATATTGCATCCGCGAGCCAGAGTAGGGAGGAAAATCTGGTTGGAGGCAGAATGCAGATCAAGGACGATCTGCTCCCCATTCTTTGCAGGAAAATGAACATCAGAGAACATGGTCTCATTTGCCACAATATGGTATGCAAGCAACGCTTTCAGGTATAAGCGCCCTCCTGGGCCGAAGAGGAAGGCATTGACCTTCCGGCCCAGTTGCCGGAACGCGGTATCGGAAGGAGCGAATACCGTCTGCGCGGTGTGTGTTGATGTATCGTTGATCACCTCCGCTAGGCCGGTGTCGATTAGTCCTTGGCGGAATATCCCGAATGCCGGGGTGTATCGCAGCACGTCTGCGGTTGAGTCCGGCAGCATCAGCAGTCGATCCACGATGTGGAGATGACCGTTGACGGCGGCCTGTGACGCCAGCATTTTTGCGCGAAAATTGAAAGTCACGGCACCTGGATTGTTCTGAACGCTGATGCGTTGCTGGTTTTTGAAGAAGATGTCGGCATTGACGAATGAGGAGACTGTGTTTTGACTGCGCAGTGCCTGTGGAGAAATGCCTCCTTTTCCCATGTGGTATCCGACGAGGAACTTCCAATAAAACCATGGGAGGTCGTATGGGAAGTCCTCCATGTCGAAGGCCTCGTCAATGGGTGCATAGACGGTGAGCTGGGCCTTGGGTGCTTGGAGACCACCGACAATGTCCTCGAATTCTCCCACCAACTTGGCGAATTTGGTTAAGTTACGATTGTTCTGAATCTGGGCCCAGAGAGTCTGGGGTGGTAGTGCTTCATTTTCCTTCGGTTGAGAATTTGTTGCCACAGGCTGTGGCTTTTTCCATCCGGCCAAGTATGTCTGAGCAGCCAGGGCGACGGTCACAACGACTAGGGTCACCCGCGACACCTGGAACAGGATTCGTGTAGTAAACGGCTTCATGGTCAATTTTGGGTCGACTCAGCATGCCACAGTGTCTCCATTTGTTTATCTGTTGGTAAATTACTATTGGTTTTCATCGGGGCTTACTCGGCTTAGGGCTTGTCCCGATCTGCACCCGAACGTCGGTGTTCCGTCGCGCGGTCACCAGCTTGTGAAGGTAAATACAAGCTCGTTTTGTCTGTCTGACCCATTCCATGATCGCTTTTTCATTTGTTTGTTGACGCATGTAACAATCATAATGGCTCATCGCGCCAGTTGGAGGGCGTTGTGCGCAGTCTTGCTGCCTGGCCTCATTGCCGCAAAGCTTGTCCGTGAAGAGATCACACTGACATGGGATCTGGGGGCTCCAAATGGGCACGTCAGGGAGATGATCAAAATGAACGATGGGTTTCCCGGCCCGTATTTTCTGTGGGATGAGGACGACGACATCGAGGTAAATCGAACAATACTTTGCTCTTCGTCATCTAGTAACACACTCAAACTCTAGGTCATAGTTCACAACCGAATGCCGTTCAACTCGAGCATCCATTGGCATGGACTGATGTAAGTCATTCCTTTCATAAATTCAGATTTTTCACTGATAGTTTGTCAGGATGCAAGGCACACCTTGGTCTGATGGCGCGCCTGGTGCGACGCAGCTGCCCATCGAGCCCGATGAAATGTTCATCTATCGTTTCAAAGCCAGTCCCAGTGGCACTCATTGGTGAGACACAATACGAAGTTACAATTCGTTATCCTCTACTAACGGCTGCAGGTACCACGCTCATTCACGAACAACTTTATTAGATGGGTTGTATGGTGGGATCTTTATCCGGTGCATACCCGAAACAGGAAAACGGCCATGACCCCATGCTAAACTTGGAGTAGACCGAATCCAGGCACTCCAGCTCCATGGAGCCTGATCTCCAATGACAAGTCCCACATTCAAGCAATGGCCAAGGCGGCCAGCAACCCCAATCCGGTGCTCGTATCAGACTGGACGCATGTCAAATCCTGGAATTATATGGAAGCCGAGGAGGCATCCGGGTACACGATTTTGTATTTATTGCCCAAATTCCGATACACGAGTCGAGAACTAACCATTGATGCAGCTGTGTGGATAGCATTTTAATCAATGGCAAGGGTAGCATTTATTGCCCCGGAGAGGAATATCTGGTCAACCACACCAGTACTTATATGAAATGGGCACTGTATCCTGGCCATGTCAACGACAAAGGGTAAGTCACTCCCCATTGGGTCTTTGCGATAGTCATCCTAACAATTTTAGGTGTTTCCCATTCATGAAATCTACCGAAGGCCCCTATCTTGCCCAAGGAAGACCAGAGACGATTCCGTTGCACCTTCAAAAAGGCTGTGTTCCTGCCACGGGTGACCAAGAAGTGATCCACGTAGACGCAACATCAAAATGGGCAAGTCTCAACTTCATCGGTGCCGCTACCTTTAAAACGACTATCTTCTCGATTGACGAGCATCCCATGTGGGTCTACGAGGTGGATGGGCACCGCATCGAGCCACGAAAGGTCGACACGGTCAAGATGTATGCCGGCGAGCGATACGCGGTCATGATCCAGTTAGATAAGAGGCCCAAAGACTATACGATACGCATAGCCGATAGTGGACTGACCCAGATCATCTCCTCCTTTGCCACATTGCGCTATGCGGGCAGCCCAGGTATTAGCTCTGATAGCCGCGGAGTCATTAACTATGGGGGACAGAATACCACAGCCGTGGTAACACTCGATCGCGACCATCTGCCGCCTTTCCCTCCGCTCCAGCCAGCCACTCAATCAGACGAGCATTTCGTCCTTCATACTCACCGGTGGATGAGTCCCTGGCAGTACACGCTCAGTGGTGGTGGAATGTGGCAAGAAGACCGCAGTGCATACACGCCTCTCCTCTACGACACCGAGCAACCAGACGCCCAGGACAAAGGCCTCATCATCCGCACTCGGAATGGATCGTGGGTCGATCTCATTGTCCAGGTGGGCTCGCAGCCAGGCCAGCCGCAGGAGTTCCCGCACATGATGCACAAACACACGGGGAAGATGTGGCAAGTTGGCGCGGGAGAGGGTATCTGGAACTATACTTCGGTAGACGAAGCGATGGCCGCCGAGCCGCATCGGTTCAACCTTAAGAACCCTAACTACCGCGATACATTCGTCACTTCGTTTGATGGTCCTTCCTGGCTCGTGTTGCGATACCATTCCATCAATCCCGGTCCATGGCTCTTCCATTGTCATATTGAGACGCACCTAGCAGGAGGTATGGCGGTTGCCTTGTTGGATGGTGTTGATGCATGGCCGGAAATTCCACCAGAGTATGCGCCCCAGCAAAAGGGTCTGGTGCCTGGCCAGCCTGCCCCACGACCGGGAATATACCTCCCCTCGCCTGGGGCGAAACTAGATGTTTCTGGGGATGTAGAAGAGGCCATGGAACAGGCGGGGATAGACATGGTCGAAGCGTATCGGTATTCGAAAGTTTGGAACTCGGTATTGCGGAAGATGATTGGGTTTCTCGAAACCATCAAATCTACTGGATAGCAACGCTGTATGCTGGAGCATTTATATTAGAATGTTCCCTCCAAATTTTGTTTTCAAACTATCTGCGTTGTGGCATGAATTCGAGGAATTAATGACTTCAATTACATCTTCAAAACATTACTGTAACATGAAACTCAGAAAAGAAAGAGTTTCATGCATCCTTGAACCCCCATATTGAATCCACAGCGACTTAGTATCTGGTTCCTAATTGATTCTCTTTTGGATAACTACAATTCACCCAAGATATCCTCACGACCCCAATGCTCCCGTTCCTTGGATGCGACAGGTGAGGACTTCGCGACACTAACCTAGTCTCTCACAAAATTGTCAGACGTGACTTTGCTTGCCACATTTGGTCACAGACGCAGATTGCAGCTTATTTGGCCCAATCCCTTCCCCGAACAGCCACCCGACATGCAGCCCGACCCCCGAGAGCCGATCTTACCCCCAATACAGAGCCCCGAATGAATGAACCATGTCAACCCACTAGAGATCGGTGATGATTAAGACCCTAACGTTAATTCTCCGGTTGATTTGTATTTCATCGAAGACATAAAAACGCCGAGCCGGTGGCCTCGCGATTTCTATGCTCTTGATCCCGTATGTGCTCAGTAAACCTTCCTGCATTCCCCATTTTTGGAATACGCCCCGGGTAATCTACTAGCTACGGGGTCAAGATGACAGAACAGATTTCAACGGATGACAAGTCTCCTTCAGTGGCGGTTATTGGGCTAGGTAAGTCAATATGAAGGTAGACATGGACCCATCATGAACCTGTCTAATCTAATGACCGCCTCTGTCTGAATAAAGGGGCCCTAGGACTGGTTGCCATGAAGAATTTACTAGAAGTAGGCTTTGATGTCGTGGGCTTCGACAAACACCCGTATGTTGGAGGTTTATGGAACTACAATGAGAACAAGGACGCGATTTCCGTGCTGCCCAGTGCGTTATTCCCATGTTTACTCGGATTGCTTGGAGTCACAGAAGCTTACTGAAAAAAATTAATTTATAGGCACTGTGGCAAATGGATCGAAACATAGGGTAGGTCGAGTTTGATAAAAGTCCATGTCAAGTTATGAGCTGACCACACGAATGTGCCAGGGGTGTTTTACGGATTTTCCGTTTCCAGATGGTACGTTTGACAAGGAGCCTGTTTATGTGGCAGACTACGCAATTACGGACGTTAATTATGCGACAGAGACACCGGATTTCCCGCCAGCGGCAGAGATGCATCGCTATCTTGTGTCGTATGCTGAGCACTTTGGTATTCTACCGCGAGCACGTCTAAGCACGACCGTGCATCGTGCCGAGTGGAATCCAGATATGGCCCTGTGGGAGATTGAGACGTCCACTGAGACAGAGCCGAAGACCGTTCAGTACTTCGACAAGGTTGTCTACTCGATGGGACCGGACCAGACCCCTAACATCCCCTCTGTTCCGGGATTTGAACTGTTTGGAGGCGAGGCAGTGCACTCTATCGGGTTCAAAAGGTATGATCTTTCTAAATTATTGCGATGTTGTTTTGAGTACTGACAAGACAGACCGGACGACTGGACCGGCAAACGAGTACTTGTTGTCGGCTTTGGAAATACCGCGGCGGACGTGGCATGTGAGCTCGCAGGGACGGCAGAGAAGGTTTATTTGTCCCATCGAAATGGAAGCATTGTAGTAAGATAGGCATTCACTGATCCCTTGAAGACTTTCCAATATCTAATGATCCGCAGCTCCCCCGATGGGTGGACAACAAGCCCGTGGACCACATCCGGACCTATCGCAAAGGAGTTTTCCTCGAGCAACTGTCTCGCTACGCACCGGGTATCTGGACCAAGCTCATGAACAAGGTAATCCTTGGTCTCCGGGACCGGCTCTACGATCTAAATCCAGAATGGGGATTTGATCCAGCGCCGTCGGTGAACCAGGCGCGTCCCATCATCAGCGATTACTTGGTCGATTATCTGTCCCGTGAACAGATCACCTCCAAGCCACCCATCCAACAAATCCTCGATTCCCAACGAGTCGAGTTCACCGACGGAACGATTGCCGATGTGGACGCCATTATCTGGTGCACCGGGTACACGGTCGACTACTCGATCTTGGGGAAGAGCGATCCCACAATCTACCGGGGCTCCGATATCCGCAGTGCGAACGGACGGAAGATTCCGCGGTTATATCAAAATCTGCTTTCACTCGAGCATCCAGATTCGTTGGCTTTTATGGGTAATCTGTCATTTATGAACCCGGCCTTTCTCATGTTCGATCTGGCCACAATGGCACTAGGACAGGTTTGGTCGGGGCGTTCGCCTCTTCCGCCACGCGAGGAGATGATCAAGGCCGTCGACAAGCAACATCAGTGGCTCGCTGACCTGGCCACTAAAGGAGCTGTGACGCCGGGTCTCGTCAAGGGGGCGGACTGGCTGGATTGGGTCGAGGAGACTGCGGGACTGGGCATGAAGGAGAACCTTGGGTATGGGATTCAAGGGTGGTATTTCTGGCTGTCAAATCGTCCGCTCTGTAACTTGCTCATGGATGGTCTGCTCTTGCCTTTCCATTACCGGTTGTTTGAGGGGAAACGCAAGCAATGGGAGGGCGCCGAGAAGGCTATCTTGAAAGTCAACGAGGAATTGCGCCTCAAGAACAAGACCAAGAAGTGGCAGTAGCGGTTCGGAGGGCTTATTTTTTCTTTGATGTAGCGTTGGCCAATTGAGATATACCGTGATTTGCATTTACAAATTTACCTTTTCCCAATTCATTATACTCATCACCATGTTATTCCTGTCGGGCTTCTCAGTCGGGAATCGGGGTTTCCCTCCGTCTCGTTGAGTAAAATATATAAATAATACAGGAATCCAACGATGGCAACGCAACACAGAAAAGACACCTGACAAATCTATATTGACTAAGATCTATTTGCTATGGCCGAAACAGGACCTCGAAAAGTCGTCATTGTGGGCGGAGGAGTTGCAGGAATCTCTCTGGCACACTATCTGCTACGACACACTCTGCCAGCTTTGACTGAACGTCTTGGGGAATCATACCATCTCACCCTGGTTTCACCGTCATCGCACTTCTACTGGAAAGTGGCCGCGCCACGAGCCTTGGTGGACACGAACCAAGCCCCCACACCCTTTGATGCAATCGCAGATGGATTCCAGGAGTATCCCGCATCACGATTTACCTTTCTCCAGGCAGAGGCAACTCACCTCAATGAGAAGGCTCGAATTCTTCATGTTCGATCGCCGAAGACCAACGAGATCGTCCCAGTGGAATATCTTTCCCTTGTCATTACGACGGGAACGACCTCTCACAGTCCCTTGTTCTCCCTAACAGGCCCGCACACCCAGACCCAGCACGCGCTCGGACAGATGCAGAATCGCTTACGCGACGCTGAATCGATCCTGGTGGCGGGTGGAGGGCCGACGGGCGTTGAAACGGCAGGGGAGCTCGGGGCGATGAGCGATTACTGGCCCGGCCCAAAGAAATCCATCACCCTGCTATCGGGGAATGATCGCCTGCTTTCCCATGCCAGCCCCGGAAGCTCTGCGACAGCCGAGCACATGCTTGCGCAATTGGGGGTCACAGTCAACCATGCAGTTCGCGTCACATCAGCAGTACAGCAGGAGGGTCAATCCTCTTGGGAGATAACGCTAAGCGATTACTCCACCCGAGCAGTTGATGTCTACATTGATGCGACGGGCAGCATCCCCAATACTGCATTCTTGCCGTCGGCGTGGCTCGATGCCAAGGGCTACGTCAAGACCGACAGGTTTAGCCTACGTGTCGAAGACACAGTGGGGTCTACTCCTTGGGATCAGTTACTTCTTTCACTAATGGGAGCTTCTTCGACGCCATCGAGCCCGTTCGGCCCCTCGCTGATAGTTTAAGGGACGACCATTTGGCGATGAACCCCGATGCATCCCGTCAGAGTCAGTCGTGGTGGGAGAGTCTGTTTGGTCGTCGGACGAGAACCTATCAGCAAAAAATCTCACTAACGCAGTTTGTTGCCGTGGGGAGAAATGGGGGCGTCGGGGAACTCGGGGGTGGCGAGTACCAAGCGTGTTGGTGTACAAGGCTAAGGCGAAGACATTGATGGTAGAGAAGATGAGCGTGATTGTGTACGGGGAGGATTTCCATCAGGCTTAGCTGCTCTTCGGGAGATAATATGAATGATCGTCTCAATTGTTCTGCATGGTGCATCCCCGATGTTTGATCGGGTCATCATAGATTAAGGCTTTTGTCGGGCCTCGTAATACTTCCCGATCTCAACCCCGAGCCTTCCCCCAACTATAATCCAAGTCTTGATTGAATTCATGTCGGAGTCATGAGATCATGTAGTAGTATTGCTTGATTGTTCACCATGCGTTCCTCCGCCTCAATGGTTGCCGGTATAGATTTGCGAAATAAGAGAAGGAAAAAGAAAGTACTTCGACACCATTTCGACAGGCCGAAACCGCTGTAGAACAACATCGCTGAGTCTAGTAAACTACTTGGTTACTCGGTGGGAAAGAGCGCATTGAATCAAGTTATATGCCATCTATCGTTGGTGACCTCAGGGCACAATGCCTCCGCCTTAATTTTCAGCAGGGCACAGGTCTAGAGGAACCTTGTTTTGCTATTGTGTCTTCATCTTTATATACCTGGATTCTATAGTATTCGGTTTAGTACATTCTCCTTTTAACTATTCTGTCCCCCGCCCTCGAATATGGACGCCTATACTTTAGTGGTTGTTACCCTCAGTACTATGGCTATCACTGGTACTGTATCATATATTTAACTAGTAAGGAAGCATTAAAATCGCTCGGATTATTACAAAAGGTATTGAGTATAGATTTAATAAGGTAGTACTAGTTAAATGCTAATATTAGAGAGTGATTTATAGAGGACTGTCCTACGGCGAGAGAAGGAAAGTTATTGTACGAAATATACACCGTGGAATATCGTTGATGCCTCAGGTTGACAATCTTACTTGACGACATGCGGACTCAATATTATAAGAAAATCATATAGAATATGCATACAGTACTTCTCGATACTGGTATCACCACTTACACTCTTCGATTCTTCCTCAAACTCTAAGTTATGTAGAAAGTACCAGCTATAATACCTACCCTAAACAGTGACGATACGTGAATTTAGGTATCTTTAAATACTGTATAAGTAATCTTACAGGAATATTAATATTTGAGTCCCCAATAAGGTGTAGTATATCTTGGCATTGGGGTTCAAGAAATGATCGAATAGTTGTGGGTGGTGACACCAGTTTCGGGAAGTACTGTATCCACCCACTACTATTCATTGCTTAAATTAGAGGAAAGACAGGTACAAAGCACCTTCGAATAATCAGTCAAGACCAACAGTAAGGATCGACATGACACTCCCCCTAGGCTGGGCTACGTCCACCAGCCGCAACCGCTCATCCGCAAGACTCAACATATGCGTCCAATCATCTAGATCCCTTTCACAGCTATTGAAAACTTGCAGCATGGTCATGTCGCGAACGCGGAGGAGTCGCTCCTTTGTCGAGGCCACGGACCCTGGACGCGGCAAGACAGAGTCCATGATAAGGATACGCGACCCGGGACGCAGCGCGACGATCAGCTGCTTCAGGATGCGCACAGCATCTGGGGTGGCCCAGTCGTGCAGAATCATGCGCAGCAGGTAGATGTCGGCCCCAATGACCGGTTGCGGCTGGAAGAAATCATGGGCCTGGAAGTGGACGCGCGACGCCAGATCGGGACGCAGCGTGGCGGCCCCTTCGTTAACATTCTCAAGGAGATCCTGAACGGTCACATCAAGTCCCGGGAAGGCTTTTGCGAGCGCTGTGCCTGCGTTGCCTGATGAACCTCCGACCTGTTTATTCGTCAGTGTTCAGTCATCTACCCGGGGAAAGAAGCCTACATCCACAATCTTCGCCGGTCCGAGTCCCGCCCAGTCGAACCCAGTTAGCAAATGGTCCAGTTTGGTGCCCTCGCTGCTGGTCACGTTTTTCATATAACCCGCAAATTGCCGGGTCCGATCGGGCAACGTCGCCAAGTGATCGAAAAAAGGCAGTTCCGTGTCAAAGGCAACGTTATAGGCCGTCTCCGTGCGTGCCTGGCTATTGGGCCATCTTTTCGTGGCGGCCACAAGATGCAACGCGGCTGGTACTGACGCCTCACACATGAACTCGGCCCAGTCGTTCATACTCTGGTTGGTCACGAACTGTGCCGATGTCGCCGAGTGCGCGATGCTTCCCGGTTGAGGCTCGTGCAAGATATGACTTGTCATTGCCATGCGCGCCACTGCCTTCAGTGTCCGCTCTGGGACACCTGCATCCGCCGCTAGCGAGGCATAGGAAATAGATCCGACGAGGGGGACCCGTGAAAGGATGCCGAAATGAACCAGCCAGTGCAGACATGACAGATGTTGGTACTATGATAACACGGTTAGTCATTGATGTGAGATGTGATTAATTTCACTTATTGAGGACAAAGGCCAACGTACATGCACTGCCAGGTTGGGCAGGTACTCGCTAGGGCCGGATGCTAACTGGAACATCTTCATCGATGCGTCCAACAGCGCCTCGCGTGCCGCCTGGATTTCGCCTGGGGCTGAGGCTGGCAAAGTCTTAGGGGCAGCATCGCGCTCGAAAGACGGAATAGGATGACCTTCAGAGTGCAAGAAGGTGCTCAAGACCTGAGCATTGGTCGAAATGGAATTCGCTATCTCGTTCAAGAGCTCCTTCTTGACAGCAAGCCCTGTCTTAATCTCTTCCGAACCCTCTTGGGATACCGGGGAGGGAAGACCGTTGTGGATCAATGGAGACATGGCACGAGCAAAGAGACTATACAGGTAAGAGATCATGTTTACAAAGGCTCATTTGCCACAGGCAATGCTTTCTTTTCAAAACCCACATCATGGATGAAGTTCGGAGCCAGACCGGGCTTCGATTAGCGGCAGTTCGGTCAGCACATCGCAGTTCCGATTGACCAGATCTGACCCGATCATCTTCTGTCGTTCCCTATAGGTCTCGCAGATGGCTTTCCCGATGTACATCTATGCTGACCCGATCGGATCGTACTGTCATTGCATGCGCTTGCATGCGTCTCGGGACATGCACTCATATGGCAGTTTGTGATATTTGATAAAGACCTTTCATTTTAAAAGGGCACAACAAGGCCCATGAAAGGAAAACGGAATGGAACGTATAATTACATCTGTCAAAGATCTTGAAATAAAGATACCACTATGGCACGCGTTCAGCAGATCATCTTGTTCGGAGACCAAACCGACGACTTCTTGTCGCTCCGGCGTCTTCTCTCCCCCAATCAATCTCCTCCTCTCTTAGAATCCTTCCTTAATAATGCCATACGCGGGCTGCGAGCAGAGATCGGCTCCCTGCCACTTCAGGACCGCCAGCAATACCCCAATTTTACCACGGTGGCCAGCATCCTGGATTGGAGGAGCCGTCAGCAGAAACCCTACCCAGCCATTGATAGCGCCCTGACTTGCATAAACCAGCTGGCCCAGTTTATCGAGTAAGTTCCTCCTCTTGCCACTACTAGTGAGGGTAGTACATATCATTCTAACAATGCCTTCCCTGCAGAGCTCAAAGCATCACCAACACTTATATCAGCCCTTTAAATACCATCATCGGCGGCCTGTGTCTTGGGTCTCTATCCGCTGCGGCCGTGAGTAGTTGCCAGTCGATCTCCCAGTTGCTTGATCTGGGGACGCAGACCATTCAGGTGGCCTTCCGGACAGGACTGCACGTCTCGCGAGTTGGACGGGCCATTGATCAATCTTCCACGGAGCCATGGTCTCTAGTGGTTGCCACACGATCACCGGACGACATTTTGCATCGCATTGATCGATTCACAGAAACCCAGGTTGGTGATTGGACTTTCCCGATTCATGCAGGAGTGATATAGAAACGCTGACAACGGTCAGCATCTGCCTTCGCACACTCGGCCCTATATCAGTGCTTATCTGTCACACGCTGTGACTATCAGTGGGCCGCCTACCAGCCTATCCAGCCTGCAAAAGTCCCCCGAGTTTGCTACCCTTTTCCCGCGGACTATCCCCATCTTTGCTCCCTATCATTCCGCTTTCCACTTCGCCTCGGCCGACTTTGATGCTATCCTGGAAGGCATTTTCTCCACTGGAGATACGATACCCTCAAGCGATATTCCGTTCATCTCTAGTACGAGTGGCCGGCCAGTCCAGGGCACGGGTGTGCGCTCCCGATTCGAATCGGCTCTGGCCCAGATCCTCTTGGAGACCTTGCGTTGGCAGAGCCTTGTCAATGGAATGATCGCGGCTCTCCCCGGACTTGATACCCCTGATGCCCCCCAGTTTCACGTCCAGTCTTTTGGAAGAACCGCCGGGCCTCGACTGGCTGAGGCGATCGAATCAGCCACCAGTTACACCCGGCATCAACCTTCCCCTAGTCTTGGTCCGACACCAGTACGCTCGGGGCAAGCTGACTGGTCCAAGATTGCTATCATTGGGTATTCCGGTCGATACCCTCATGCCGAGTGCAACGAGGAGTTTTGGGATCTGCTCATCCGGGGGCTTGACGTGCACGAGGTCGTGCCGGCTTTGCACTGGGACGCACGAACCCATGTCGCTAAGCCGGGACAGGCGAGGAAGAATACGAGTGCCACACCGTTTGGATGTTGGTTGCAGAATCCGGCAGCGTTTGATGCTCGCTTCTTCAATCTATCGCCACGTGAGGCGCCCCAAGTTGACCCGGCGCAGCGCATCGCCCTGATGACGGCGTACGAAGCCATGGAGCGTGCGGGCATGGTGCCCAACGCGACTACGTCCACGGCCAAGGACCGCGTTGGTGTTTGGTACGGTGTCACGTCTAACGACTGGATGGAGACCAACACCGCGCAAAACATTGACACCTACTTTATTCCCGGCGGCAACCGCGCATTTATCCCGGGCCGCCTGAACTACTGCTTCAAGTTCAGTGGCCCTAGCTACGCGGTCGACACGGCGTGTTCGTCCAGTCTGGCGGCCATCCATCTCGCTTGCAATGCGCTGTGGCGCGGCGAGGTTGACACGGCCATCGCTGGCGGCACCAACATTCTCACCAACCCCGACTTTACGGCCGGGCTGGACCGTGGTCACTTTCTGTCGCGGACGGGCAACTGCAAGACGTTTGATGACAGCGCTGATGGGTACTGCCGTGGCGAGGGTGTTGGTACCGTCATCCTGAAACGCCTCGACGACGCCCTGGCCGACCGCGATCCCATCTGCGGCGTCATCTTGAGCGCAGGCACCAACCACTCCGCAGAGGCCGAGTCCATCACCCGTCCGCATTCCGGTGCGCAGCAGGACCTCATCCACAATCTGCTTCGCACCGCCGGAGTGTCGCCTTACAGCATCAGCTATGCCGAGATGCATGGCACGGGAACACAAGCCGGGGATGCAGGGGAGATGAACTCGGTCTTGACGACTTTGGCTCCACCTTCTGTTCCCTATCGTACTCATGATCAGCCGCTGTATCTGGGTTCGGCCAAGGCCAATATTGGTCACGGAGAGGCCGCCTCGGGAGTATCGAGTCTGATCAAGGTCATGCTGATGATGGAACACAATGCCATCGCTCCACACTGCGGCATTAAAACCCGAATCAATCGCAAGTTCCCGACCGATTTAGAGGATCGCAATGTCCACATCGCCAAGACCCCCACACCATGGACTTCGCAGCATGGCGAGCCCCGTCGCGTACTGCTGAATAACTTTAGTGCTGCCGGGGGTAATACCGCGCTGTTATTGGAAGACGCGCCGTCGATTCCAGAGACTGAAGAGGCGGAAGATCCCCGAACATGCCACCTCCTGGCCGTCTCAGCCAAATGTGCCTCGTCCCTTGAAGCGAATGTCAACTCACTTCTGGGCTACATAGAAGCCGCCGGAGAGGACCTCTCCTTACCGTGTCTCTCGTACACGACGACTGCCCGTCGCATGCATCATCCCCATCGCGTCATTGTGCAGGGCTTCAATGCCGCCGGTATCCAGCAGCAGCTTAGATCTGCACTGGCACGCGGCGACGGAGCCAATCGACCTTCTGTAGCACCAAAGGTGGTTCTTGCATTCACCGGACAAGGAACCCAATTCGTGGGAATGGCCCGCCAGCTGTGCGGCTCGCTACCGCCCTTCCGTGCCAGCCTGCAGCAGCTTGACCGCATCGCCCAGTCACTGGGCTTTGACAGTTTCCTGCCATTCATTGAGGACGATTCTGGCGCTGACCTCAAGCGGTTCTCGCCCATGACTGCGCAGCTGGCTAGTGTTTGTCTCCAGATTGCCTTAGCCCAGCTGTGGGCGTCACTGGGAATTGTTCCTGATGCCGTGGTCGGTCACAGCCTAGGCGAGTATGCTGCCTTGAATGTTGCGGGCGTTCTGTCGGACGCTGATACAGTGTTCCTGGTGGGTAAGCGGGCACAGCTCCTCGAGGAACACTGCACCCTACATACACACAGCATGTTGGTGGTACGGGCTTCCGTGGATACCATCCAGTCGGCCCTGGTTGATATAGAATATGAAATCGCGTGCATCAATGCGCCTGAGGAAACGGTTCTGGCAGGGCCTAACGATCAGATTGAGGCCCTCCAACAAGCCCTGTCGCAATCAGGGGTACGATCCAAGACAATCCCCGTCTCGTACGCATACCATTCCTCCCAAGTGCAGCCCATTTTGGACGATCTGGTCCAAGCTGCTCAACCGATCGTGTTCAACAGACCCTCCATCCCGGTCTTATCACCATTGGTGGGAGATGTCGTGCAGACAGATGGAACCTTTGGACCGGAATATCTCCAGCGACACTGTCGGGAGACGGTAAACTTCTACCAGGCAATGCAGTCTGCGCGGGTTGCCGGTGTTGTGACTGATCGAACCCAGTTCGTCGAGATCGGCCCTCATGGAGTGGTCACGGGCCTGATCAAGGCCTGCTCGAAGGCATCTCAGGCACATGCAGTGCCCACCCTGCAACGGGGCCGCGACGATTGGCAAAGCCTGGGCGAGGCGATGTCGAGCCTGTATCGAGCTGGACTGGACATTGCCTGGAACGAGTACCACCGACCCTTCCCGGCCGCGCAACGCGTGCTGCGGCTCCCCGCTTACAACTGGAATCTGAAAAACTACTGGATTCAGTACGTGAATGACTGGTCCTTGCGTAAGGGTGACCCGCCACTCATCCAGTCCGCTCGTCTGGGCGAGTCCACCACCGTCCACAGGGTTGTCGAAGAAACCAAAGATTCTATCGTGGTGGAATGCGATCTGTCCCGCGAGGACCTGGTTCCGATTGTGAAAGGCCACAATGTGGATGGAATTCCTCTCTGCACGCCGGTGAGTTTTCTTTTGTTTATCACCTGGGACACACTCCTGCTTTTGATGCTAACCTTTACTAGTCGGTATATGCGGATATTGCCCTGACGTTGGGCAACTATCTACGCGACCGTCACCAATGTGACGATGCCGAATCTGTAGTCGAAATAGCAGATATGACCATCCATAAGGCCCTCGTTGCGAAGCCCAGTGAGACAAAGCTTTTACGCGCGTCAGTCGCCGTTGACTGGGAGGTTAACAGCGCCATGTGTCGATTCTTGTCCATGGATGTAAGTCCCCGATTATGCTTACTGCCCTTAACGAAACGTACTCATTCTGTAACAGTCGAAGGGAGAGCCCACGATCGAGCATTCGCATTGCACCATTCTGCTCTCAAGTCCTAGTCGTCGTGCCGCACTTGAAGCAAAACGAACCGGCATCCAGAAGCGGATGCGTGAAATGCGCGATGGCCTAGAACCTGGCATTACGCAGCGATTTAACCGCGCTATGGTGTATAAGATGATTCGTCCCCTGGCGGAATTCCACCGTGACTACCGGACGATCGAGGAAGTGGTAATTGATAGCCAATCTCTCGAGGCATCCGGTAAAGTCTGCTTCTCTGAGGTGCAAGCCCCAGGAAAGTTCCATACACATCCCTCTTACCTCGATGGCCTGGCTCAGTCTAGCGGGTTTGTCATGAACTGCAATGACGACGCTGACCTCGACACGGAAGTCTTCGTCAACCATGGATGGAAGGGCCTGCAATTGTATGAGCCGTTGCGACCGGATGCACACTACACTACGTATGTACAGATGGTCGAGGGAGAGAGTCGCATGTTTGAGGGTGATATGATCGTCCTCGATGGAGATACGGTCGTCGCGTCCTTCAGGGGACTTGTGGTGAGTTTCCCTCTTTTCGTCGAGGCTTATGGGTGAAAAGCAGTTAGTGTTAACTCGATGTAGTCCCAAGGAGCTCCACGACATGTCTTGCGATATGTGCTGTCTATGGAAAGCGGCGACAAGGCTCTTATAGCGTCTGCGAAACAGGCACTTTTATCGGCCGCGAAACAGGCACCTAAGCCAGCAGCACCAACACCAGCTCCTGCTTCTAAGAGCCACGATGAGAAGAAGTATTTGCCGTCAGCGCCAATACAGATGCCGCAGTTGACAAAAAATTCATCGTCCTTGTTGGCGTCCGCTCTACAGATTATCTCAGAGGAGAGCGGCGTAGCACTCGCAGAGCTGGAAGATGGTTGTGTCTTTGCGGATATGGGACTCGACTCTCTCCTTTCGCTCGTTATCACGAGTCGATTCCTTGAAGAGTTGCCTCTGGATGTGCCTGTCGAAGGGTTCTTCATTACCTATCCGACTGTGGCTGACTTGCGATCTTTCCTGAGCCAACATGAAAGCAGCCATACGGCACAGACACCTATTCCCGATGTGGTGAACCCTCTCGATGCCATGGCCATCCCTCTTCCACAGGCCGTGGTAGCGTCGAGCTCTCCAAGCTGGACAGCCGCGCTGTCCATTATCTCCGAAGAAAGTGGAATCAATATTTCCGAGCTGACGGACGAATGTGTCTTTGCTGATATGGGAATTGACTCGCTGCTGTCGCTGATTATCGTCAGCCGATTCACCGAGGAGCTGGAGATGGACATTGCGCTCGAATCCGTCTTTACTGACTATCCGACGGTGGGCGAAATTAAAGCCCTGTTCCTGTCAGACCAGCCCAGCAGCGATGAGAGCACTCCGCCGCCGAGCTCAATCGAAGACAACAATGAGACCCCGTCCTCCGAGATCTCGAACTTTTTCCCGTCAGATGATGACAGCAAGACAAAGTCGACACGCTCCCCCGTGCCACCAACCACCTCCGTCCTCTTGCAAGGAACACCCTCGAAGACAGAAAAGACCCTGTTCCTCTTCCCAGATGGTGCAGGCTCCGCCACGTCGTACGCAGGGATCCCTCGCGTAGACGCCAGCGTCTCGGTCGTAGGCCTCAACTCCCCATACCACCGGCAGCCCCACCTATTCGACTGCACCATCGACGACCTGATAAAGAGCTACATAGCCGAGATCCGTCGCCGCCAACCAAGCGGCCCCTACCACTTCGGCGGCTGGTCCGCAGGCGGGATTCTGGCCTACCACGCCACGCAGATTATGATGGAAGAGCTCCACGAAACAGTCGCCAGCCTAGTCCTCATCGACAGCCCCGTACCGAAAGGGCTTGATCGCCTCCCGCAGCATTTCTACGACTACTGCAACAAGGTCCATCTATTCGGAGGCTCAGGCGACGGAAAGACAGCCCAGGCACCGGAGTGGCTGGTTCCCCATTTCAACGCTACAATCGACACCCTGCACGAGTACCATGCATCTCCACTACTACAGCTGGATGGGTCCATGCCACGCGTGTCGATGATCTGGGCTTGTGAGAGCGTTATGGATGGTGCGGATATTCCGCGCCCGCCATCTTGTCCTGAGGATACGGAGGGAATGAAGTTCCTGACCGAAGCGAGAACTGACTTCTCGGGTAATGGCTGGGAGATGCTCTTCCCCGGTTGCTCGCTGCGGATTGAGAGGGCGAATGGTGCAAACCATTTTACGATGATGAGGGGGAGTTTGGGCCAAATCTTGCTTCTTTCATTCGCGAGTCTCTTTGATTTTTAATCGCTTGGCGTTGGCGTTGACGGGGTCGTATACACGTTGTTATGATTGTATGTACCCGAATCTATATGAAATGCACCGTATGCCTTATTGAAATCTGGTAATCTTGACCTTAGGATAATGATACTAACCCTAGCTCATGAGGGAACCTATCTATGGAGAAATTTGCAACTGCAAATGGGAGCGGGTTATTTTAGTGAAGGAATGCAATCTGGCATTGAGCAACGGGGGAATTATCTGTGTGAGAGAAGTGGAAATGGTTGGGACGGGAGGCACAGGTATGGTTAGATTGCGGTGACGTTGGGTGAGATGACTGTATTTCGTAAGAAGAGCTCATGAAATAGAGTTGGTTTTGCTATCAGTATCTAGGGAAGAGCCTAGGTTGTCACTTGGCTATACTCATGGACAGTGAAAGCTAGAGGGTATGCCACACCGTCGAGGGCCATCTGGTTGACTCCCACAAGGGACCAAGAATAACTCCAAAATGGCACCTGGGGGGTTCGTTGGAGCGTCATATTTACGAATGCTGTTGCGGCTTTCTAGAAAACATACGGGCATGAGGGTAGCCTTATTTTCTGCAAAGACGTGGCCCCTGATGCTTTAGTTAGGGCTCGCAAAGAGCCCACATTTCACCTTGATTTACAAAGAAACCTAGCAATGGTTTAATCTCCCAGAAGACATAGGTCAAAGCAAAGAGAAAAATGTGTGACATTTTGACCTCACCGAAAAAGAGTTCAACAGCCCCAAGAGAGAAAGGAGAGAGGAAATACGCCACCATATGAGAATGGCAGACTGGAAAGAGACCACACAGGATAGAGCGGTGTTCTTGTGCCGCCCTTGATATGACGAAGAAAGGGAAATAAAACTAAATACAATACAAAAATGGAAAGGAAGAGGGAGATGCTGAGGGTCGGAAAGAAAGAAAAAATAAAAGCGAGAGGCTGGATGGGAAAGAATCCCAAGAATGGACAAAGTTGAAAAGAAATAGCAAAGCGCCCCTCTGGTAAGCGAAAACTCCTCTTGTTCAGTTAGCCACTGGACTTCCTTATAGATCAGACCAAGTCGTATCGAATAGTATGCGCCTAACACCATCTCCGACAGGATAAGAACGAATATGAGATAAAGATAAAAGGCAAGCGAATGCAAAAGATGGGCGTGTTAAAAAAGAAAAGCAAACGAAAATGGATCACAAGAGACGAAGCAAGACGCAGGTGGGTATGGAATAGATCAACGCAGACAGATCTAAAAAGATGAGACTCATATAGACAGGGTATCAACGGTCACATCGAAAATCAGCTCGCAAATCTGCGAGGCAGAAAAAAATGCTTGTGATATTCAAACGAACTCAGTTGCTGTTTGATCGCAACAATGTCTATGGAGAGAACACGATTAGCCAATCTGGTCCTAACCACTCATGTTCGAACATACAGCTAACGTACCCGCTCGTCTATCATATCTTCTTCTTTCTCTTCCGTGGGACTGACAACACTCCCCCGGGCGATGGGACCAGAGGTGGTTACAGCCCGGCTTTCCGGTGCGGGGCGAGGAGGTTGTGGCAATGGTTGTTGCTGCTGCTTTTGTGACCGCTGCTGCGGTTGCTGCTGTTGCTGCTGGTTTTGGTTGTCGGAGGACATTGAATAGTTGGGATGCATTTCCCCGCTACTTGAAATCCGCGACTCCTTGCTCTTCTCCAGCAGCGAGCCACCAAGGGTAGCACACTTAAGGATAGTTTGCATCATCTGGTTTTGCTTGAGCGGCTTGGACAGATACTCGTCCATCTGGGCCTGAATACACTTCTCTCGGTCACCCAACATGGCGTGCGCAGTAAGAGCGATAATGGGGGTTCGTTGGAGCCCACTCTCGCGTTCGTATTCACGAATCTTACCGGTGGCTTCGAATCCACCCATGACAGGCATTTGAACATCCATCAAGATGACATCATAACGACGCTTCTTGACAGCCTCGACAGCCTCCAGACCGTTGCCGACAACGAACACATTGTGGTTGTGTTTCTGGAGAATCTTCATTGCGAGTTGCTGGTTCACATCGTTATCCTCAGCAAGGAGGATGTCGAACGAACGGGAGTTGTCAGTGGTAATCGGTGTCGAGCGGCCTTCCAATGCCGGCAGCATACCATTTCCGAGGTCGATTGGTTGACAAGGGGTGGTCATGTAAGAGCTGATACCGAGATCCAACGCCGACTTCAAGCTGACGCACACCAACGGGCAGACTAGAACGATAGGGATGTACTTGAACTCGTCGAATGTTCGCAGAATCCTGGCGGTATCCACGGAGTCCACAATTATGACATCGTAAGCATGGCCTGATTCCTTGCCCGAAGGATCTTGAATTTCTGGTGGTGGGACATGCTCCTCATTTCGCACAACCAGGGGTTCTAGTGCAATCTTCTTCAGCATCTTCAAGATGTTGGAAGCCTGAACTCCGTTCTGGCCCTTGTCAATGAACAACACTCGGTGGTTCTTGTAGGGCAGCAGCTGGTTAGAGATCACGCTCAAGGACTGGTCCGCCAGTTTCACCACGCAGGTGAAGTGGAAGGTACTTCCATGGCCGTATTCAGAGGTGACCCATACGTCACCACCCATCAAGTTCACGAGACGCTTGGAAATGGATAGGCCGAGACCAGTACCACCGAACCTGCGGGTAGTTGAGCCATCGGCTTGTTGGAAAGTGTCGAAGATGAGATCAAGTTTGTCCTCTTCGATTCCAATACCTGTGTCGGAAACGGAGAACTCAAAGGCGTACTCGTTCGTTGTACATTGCTCCCGATCAGACTTCCGAATGGTGAGTTTGACTTCGCCATGCTCGGTGAACTTGATGGCGTTGCCAACCAAGTTGAGAATAATTTGGCGCAGACGGAACGGATCACCAATGACATAGTCAGGAACGGTGTTGTCAACCTGGTATGTCAGGCTGAGGAACTTCTCATTCGCCTTCACAGCCAATGTCTTGAGGGCGTTGAAGACAGTACCGCGAACGGTGAATGGAATGCTTTCAATCACCATACGGTTGGCTTCAATCTTGGAAATATCCAGAATGTCGTCAATGATGGTGAGCAAACTGTTTGCTAGGTTGTGCACAACGTTCAGCATTTCTCGGGTGTACGGCTTGAGGTCATCCGTATCCAATGTCAGCTGCGTCATACCGATGATACCGTTCATTGGCGTTCTGATCTCGTGAGACATGTTGGCCAAGAACTCTGATTTGGTGCGATTGGCAAGTTCGGCAGCCTCCCTGGCGGCAGTGTTACGCTGGATACTATCCCGCAGGTTGGACACCATCTTGTTGATCTTTCGCTTGAGCTCGTCCATTTCACCTGACGCGTTGACCGTGATGAGCTTGGTGAAGTCACCGTCTGTAGCGGCATCCGTAATTTCACCAAAGGCACGCACTTGGGATGTCAGATTTTCGGCCATGGTGTTGACGTCCTCGGTGATCTCCTTCCAGGTACCCGCAATACCTTCCACGTTGGCCTGACCACCCATCTTGCCGTCGACACCGACATCTCGGGCGACCTTCTTCAGCTCGGTAGCGAACTTGGCGAGTCGACCCACCATGTGGTTGATGGTGACCTTGAGCGTGAGGATCTCTCCTTGAGCATGCACCTCGATCTTCTTGCTAAGATCACCCTTGGCAATGGCTTGTGTGACGTCGGAGATACTCCGGACCTGAGAGGTCAGATTCTGCGCCATGGTGTTCACATTGTCGGTCAGATCCTTCCACTTTCCTTCCACATTATCCACCTTGGCCTGGCCGCCAAGGGTACCGTCTGTGCCGACCTCACGAGCCACTTTACTGACCTCGAAGGCGAATGTGTTGAGTCGGTCCACCATGCCGTTGATGGTGCTCTTGAGGTCAAGAATTTCTCCTTGGACATTGGCAGTGACCTTCTTGGTCAAGTCACCCTTGGCGACAGCGGTGGTAACATCCGCAATCTCACGCACCTGAGTGGTCAGGTTGTTGGCCATGCGGTTGACATTTTCTGTGAGATCCTTCCATGTTCCTTCGACATCATTCACGGTGGCTTGGCCTCCGAGGACACCATCGGTCCCGACTTCCTTCGCGATCTTGGTGACTTCTTGTGCGAATTGGCGAAGTTGGTCCACCATGGAGTTGATAATATTTTTGAGTTCAGCAATTTCTCCCTTACAGTTGGCCTGGACCTTCTGTGTGAGATCACCCTTGGCGACAGCCTTGGTAACAGTGGCAATATCTCGCACTTGCGTGGTAAGATTGTTGGCCATGGCGTTGACATTAACAGTGAGTTCGTTCCACATGCCCTGGACACCCTCGATCTGGGCTTGTCCACCGAGAACGCCTTCCGTGCCGACATCACGGGCGACTCGAGTTACCTCCGTTGCGAATGTCCGAAGTTGGTCCACCATAGTGTTGATGGTCTGTTGTAGTTCAAGAATTTCACCTTGGGCGCGGCTCTCGATCTTTTGAGAAAGATCACCGTGCGCCACAGCAGTAGTCACAGCAGCGATTTCTCGCACTTGATCTGTCAGATTCTTGGCCATAATGTTGACGTTCTCCGTAAGTTCTTTCCAGATACCATGGACCCCAGTGATCTGAGCTTGTCCACCGAGTATTCCTTCAGTACCGACTTCACGTGCCACACGAGACACTTCGCTACCGAAGACTTGCAGTTGGTCCATCATAGTATTGATAGTTCGTTTGAAAGTCGCGATTTCAGGGTCCATCTCTAGAGGGTGAATTTGGACCTTCATAGACAGGTCACCGTTGGCGACTTGAGTGATAATGCCGCCGATTTCACGTAGAGCTTTCTGGAAAGCCTCGTTGGCCTGTTGATGCTTGCGCAGTTCACGTTCCAGAAGCACGACATCCTCATTCTCAACCTTGGTAAGAGCACGGCGAGTATGCTCTTCCTGCTTTTGCAACTCGTCACGGACCTGAGCGATGATATCCTTCTGGGAGCTGATCTCTTCGGCCTGTTTTTGGACGTGGTTGCGGAGGTAGCTAATATCCTCCTCCCGTACGACACGGGTGCCCGAGCCGGCATCTTCTTCTTCGTCGGTTTCGTCGTCGTCGATTTCTCCCAGTGGGCGCTGTTCGTCTGGGCCTGGGGAAGCCTTGGGTTGGTGGTCGGGTTGGGTCGATTTTTGCTGCTGTAAAAGGCAAGATAAAGAGTCAGAATCTTGACCGGACGACAAGCGAGAGAGCCCAAATGTCCTTAAGAAATCAGGATTCTTCTCGTTGGGTTCTTCAGCAGACGGAGTGGTTTCATGAGGCTCCGTCTGCTGTTGAAGATCGTCGGGGAATTTGTGGTGACTGACAGCTTGGAATTCCAGATGGTGCACGCGGCGCACCAGGGCCTCAAGCTCGGCTTCGAAGGCTGCCTTCGCGGGACTGTATTCTCCGGGGAGTTTGGCCGACTTGGTACCGTTGGCGGAGGGTAACTGGAAATCAAAAGGGGGTGAGGAGGAGCCGGAGGTAGGCTCGTCTCGAGCCAGGTTCTGAAGCACGACCGTCGCGGCTACGAGAGTCTCATCCACGCCGGCCATTGTGCCCTGCAAACTGTCAGTTGCTAAATCAGGGGACAAACAGCATCCTGTATATATATATCCACCACATCGACATGGATAAGGCAAGGGATCGGGCTGGATAGACGGGCGAGGAAAGACGGATCGGCCTAGATAAGTATCACTCACCGGAAAGTCGGGATCCTGACACAGAAGATCAAATAAATAAATTACGGCGACATCAGGTGAACCAAGAGATTCAAGAGGAAACAGATGGGGATTAATAGGACCCCAGTCAATCGGGGATAGAGGAAAGAGAAAGGATGAAGGGGGAAAGAAAAGCGCGCCCGGTTATGTAAGCCAGGATTTGCGGGGGAAGAGAGAGAGGAGAGAAAAAAGGAGGTTTTGGCAGAGAAGATGGCCAGTAGGGGAGGGGGGAGGGAAAGAGAGAAAAGATTTCGAAAGGGGCGGTGATGCCGTCTTTTTTTCCCCCCGAGTGGTTCTATACTGTCTCTCGTTGCCTAAAGACACTGCAAATTGAGAGAGAAAAACGCCTTTTTTCTCGGTTTCGCTGGAATTTACCACATTTACAGCATTTACAGCATTCCTACCTGCAGGGGGGCACGGACAGAGAGCGTTTATCTATTAAAGTTTCGAGCACCAGGTACTTGGGTACGTTGTACACAAAACCTCCTGGATCAGCTTCACCCAAGAGGTAGAAACACCCGAAAGCGTGATGATCGGCTCTGTGATGGCGATCGCAGGGCCGTGGCTCCAGTCACCCGGGCTCACTTAGGCTTCGCAATACCGAATACTGTACTCTAATTTCACGCAGTCGAACTCAAGAATAGACGAGGTCTCGGGATTGGGTGGGTTTGAGATCTAGTGGAAAGCCAGTCAGAAATGCGTAAACGAAGTTGTCTCTTAGGGTCCCAACTCCATAGTTCGATTCCACTTCGAACGAAATTTGTGTGTGAGGCTTAGGCTTAGTGATATGCATTGGTCATCTTGTTCAGCTGAGCACGTGGGAACCTTGGAAGTTGTTTCACGTTTTGATATCGAAGTTAACTGACTTAACTTATAACTCACGTGTATCTCGTTAGAAATTGGGTCTCAGTGTGTAGACACAGTATAGATCACGTGCTAGATATACAGGTTCGGCAGCCCAGAAGAATGGGATATAGAATATCATTCAAATAATAATCTCGTATTCAAAATGAAACAAGTTAAAGATCGAAGTATAAGTTACTCCTTACATAACTTGTAACATTTCCAACCGTTATGGCGGGGTGAAACGGCAGAAGTGGTCGGTGTGGCTTCCCGCAGTCTATCCCGCCGAGTCATAATTCTGCGAAATACTGCCTGATATTCAATACTGACCTCTCTCCAAAAATATCCTACAGGATACGGCTGTTATGGCGTCCAATTTGACGAAGCCGGTTCTGGACGCCCTGTTCGCGTCCGATGCGCCCATCCTCTCGAGCGATGCCTTCCCCTCCATCCCCTCATCCAATGTCAAAAGCGCACTCGACCGCCTTAGCACCCGGGACATGGTCGAATTTGAGGCCATCACTACCGACGTGCTCACTCTCACTGCTGAGGGTGAGGAAATTGCCGCCAATGGGAGTCATGAAGCCAAAGTTTTCGCCGCAGTGGTGGCCGCCATGGACGGATTGAAGATCACCGAGTTGCCCGGAATTGTGGGCAAGGACAATGCCAAGGTCGGCCAGGGAAACGCTTTCAAGCGTGGCTGGATTAAGAAGGACAATGATCTGCTGCGGGCCACCACAGACTCAATCGTCGACGAGACGCAACAGCAGTTGCTCACTGTCCAAAAAACAAAGACCTTGGCCGACGGCAAGGCGATTGCAGACCTCAAGCGGAGAAAGCTGATTGTCATGAGCAAGGAAATCATCTACAAGTTCAGCAAAGGCCCCAAGTACGCCCGCGAGGTCCCCAAGGAGGAGACCGACCTCACCCCCGAGATGATCGCAAGCGGCTCCTGGAAGACCGCGCAGTTCAAGCCCTACAACTTCAATGCTAAGGGTGCCCCAACTACGGCCGGTACGCTACACCCGCTGAACAAGGTGCGGCAAGAGTTCCGGAACATCTTCTTCGAGATGGGCTTCGAGGAGATGCCAACCAACCGCTTCGTCGAGACCGGCTTCTGGAACTTCGACGCACTCTTCGTGCCCCAGCAACACCCCGCCCGCGACCTCCAGGATACCTTCTATATCTCCGACCCTCTCAAGGCAGACGGTCCTCGCGAGGACTCTCCCAACGACCCCCACCTCCCCAAGTCGCTCAAGTCCGACAAGCCCCTCGACTACCAACAGTACTGGGACAACGTCAAGGAGGTTCACCAGAACGGCAAGTTCGGCTCCATTGGTTACCGCTACCCCTGGAACGCCGACGAGTCGCTACGCCTGGTGCTCCGCACACACACCACCTCCATCTCGACCTACATGCTGCACAAGTTGGCTGCCAACCCGCGGCCGGTCCGCTATTTCAGTATCGATCGTGTCTTCCGAAATGAGGCCGTCGACGCTACCCATTTGGCAGAGTTCCACCAGATTGAGGGTGTCATTGCTGACTTCGGTCTGACACTGGGTGGTCTGATTGGATTCATGGAGGTCTTCTTCGCCAAGATGGGCATCCACCAGCTGCGCTTCAAGCCCGCTTACAACCCCTACACCGAACCCAGTATGGAAATCTTCGGTTACCATGAAGGTCTGGGCAAGTGGGTTGAGATTGGTAACAGCGGTATGTTCCGCCCAGAGATGCTGGAGGCCATGGGTCTGCCCAAGGATATGAGAGTCTACGGATGGGGTCTGAGTCTGGAGAGACCTACCATGATCAAGTAAGTCCACGGCAGATGTTTACATTGGTTGATTTTCTAACATTTATCTACTAGGTACGCCGTCAGCAACATTCGTGAGCTCCTTGGTCACAAGGTTGACCTTAACTTCATCGAGACCAACCCGGCTGTCCGTCTGGAGAAGGATTAAACACGGAGCATTTGACATTCATAGAAGGCAAAAAGAAAGATTTTTAGGTCGTGTCTTGAAGGTCCTACCAGGAATCACGAGTTTATGTGGAAAGAACCTTATTGCATACTACAATGAGAAGATGTGAATAAAGAACGTTTATTATGCACCTGTTTCTCTGTATGGACACGTCGGTACCTCTATCGGTACCTCTGCGTAGAAGATTTCCTCTGCCAGTGGCGTGTACATAGCAGCCACTTCGATAAAGAACGCTCGAGACGACCTCGGTTCGCGCTCAGCGAGTCTTCACTGTCGATCTGTTTCAGATTCGACGATCATACAGAAGCCCGGATACTTATCTCCACTGCGCGAATTGCGACGGCCCCCTTACGGCGTACTACATATCACAGTTCTCAAAAAGGAAACAGATCATTAAATGCAGCGTCTCCTATCTGTCACAATGCATCATCATCATCCTCCACTTTTCCTCGCATCTAGCGTCTATAAGCACACGGGCTTGACTAGTAACCTCTCCTCATTTCGTCCCACAGTGAGAGTAGCCTGCCCAAATGCGTAAGCACGATGAGCTTTCCCTCACTGAACCGCCTTCCAGTAGGAGCTATGCCAAATCTAGTTTGGTTAGCGAGTTTACCTAGACCCGGTATGGATATGGACGTTATATGATAGTCTCACTCATGGAACGTTTGGACCACTCGCAATTCTATCATCTCGAGAAATAACAGCAAGCTCCGGGCAGAAGAAGCCAAGTGGAAATGAGATTGCTGGGAGACTTCCGAGGTCACTGGTGAGATCTGTGTTCGATGGCACTACCAGACAAAGACCCCTGCGGATTCTGCTCATCATGGAAACCGCCTAGGGCTTGTCCGAACACGGATGGCCAGCTAATTCAGCAATCGGTGGGTCGTGACGTGCCCCATTCGCTCGGGTTTGTTTTTCCTAGGGTTATAGCGCCTGCTTGGCGGAGTTGAGTTTTGATATGACCGTTGGCTCGGTTTTGTATTTGACTCCTACCAGGGCGTGTGAGCCTACTGTCGTGTCCAATTCTTCTGTTGTGATGAAGGTATGTTTGACTACGAAGAGGATTCTATGGAGGGGTCTGGGGGATGTTAGATCTTATATTTGAGGGTGATGAAGGAGTAAGGGAAAGGGAAATTATGATACCCTAGAGTCTGGTCATTGCTTCGTTCATGGTTACGCTGTATGGCAATGGCGTTGGTATCGGGGTGTGTGCAGGTTACTGCTCGGAGTTGGTCGTTGATCTGGGAGATTCTCGATGTGTAGAACTTTGATCAAGGAGCCAGTGCTTTGTGTATCAATAATTGTATAGAGATATTCTCACATCCACGAGATCTTCGCTAGTGAATACTTGATCTAGGAGAGCCTGCTGAATGCCATACAGATCAAGACTGTCGACGATAGCAGCTAGGTTTCGCTTGGTGATGTATGCCGACATCTTGTTCTGAACGAACAAAGACACGTTTTGGCAGTCTAGAAAGTGGTTGACGATGAATGCTAGACAATAAATACAACCGAATGAAAACATCAGCCAGTTCAGGGTCATTATATGTGGTATTTAGGGCAGATTCTCTTCGTACTTAGGTATAGATGTGTAGGGCAAGTGTACAGCACGTAGTGTTTCTGTTTGACCGGCAACAGGTAGGAAGATACGCTATAATCATTAAACGGGGGTTTTGTCTTTGAATATAGGAACCGCGTTTTTTATGGACACCAGCAGAGGGCTGGGCTATCCCAATCAGGAAGGATATAACAGGAAACAACAAAGGCTGCTGTGACGAACTAGCCAGGTATAGAGGTGATATACAACCAACTCGGCGCCTATTTGGCTGTCACAAGCGACGGTCGAAAAACGCGTTGGTTCCAACGTAGCCTGGGGCAAGTTTCGGAGCCTGCAGTCTGCGATGTATCTTAGTTCTTAGCATGAGGCTCAGTGAGTGAGCCAGTTAGGTCAAAGTAATCAAGAGTTGTACGTTGCTGACCAACGTGCAGCAAGAGGTAAGCACGAGAGAAACAAATCACGGAGTGGCAGATGTCATCCAATGCATAGGCTCAAACAGTTGGGAGGGGGTTGGGGGCTACGTTGGTGAGGACGGCAGAGGGCGAGTCAAACACCATGAGAAATGGAAGTTGTAAATTATCTAACGTGTTTACGACGTGATGTCCCACCCGTATCTGTGCCCCAGCGCATGGATCTTTGCGACAGTGGCTCTTCAGCAGGCGGGGTTCGAATGAGTGATTTCCGGCATGGATGTGCTAATTCTACCCCCTCGCTCATGGGATGCAGACCGAGAACCAAGACCAGAGAGACCCAGCCTAGTTCGCTTGACTACAAGAATGAGGAAGCCTTGATGTGCCGATGTGAAGGGGGAAGAGAGAGAAAGAAGGTGAGGGGGGAAAAGAGCAGATAAAAGCAACAGAGAGCAAAGGCGGTGAGCACTATGACATATGTATGAAAAGGGAGAACGTTTCGATTTTTGGCATTGCATTTTTTTGCTTTTGCTTCATGAGGATTGACGGGAGATTCTATCGTAGCAAGAGAACAGGCGGGATTCGTAGAGAAAAAACCTGACCCATTAAGTCGTCGATTCCATTCATTTCGATAGATAGGACAGTAGGAAAACAGGGTTTCTCGGAGGAGAAAAAGAAAAAAAGGACCAAGGAACATAACTATATCCCTTCATCCTTCTTTTGGTCACGAGAACCAACTCCCCGAACACGGACCATCAAGCCACGGTTCCTCTGCGACATAAGAATTAGCTACTTGAATGTGATACTTCATGTATTGCTAGTGTCACATACCAACAAATCAACCCGTCAACACCACCTCCGGTGAAAAACCACATCGCTGTAGATGATTTACCGCTGGCTGGAGGCGGACCAGACGTTCTTGAGGAAACCGTCACGCTGAGCGAGGCGGTTGAAGGAGTCATCGCTCTCACCGCGGGCACGGATGAAGCCGCAGAGAGCGAAGGTCTCGTTCTCGCCGGTGTAGCGGCCGTTCTCGTCAACCTTGCCGACGGAGATCTGGACGGAGGCGTGGTCGTTGGCCTTGATGATGCGGTTGGTGGCGCTGCACTTGCGGGGCACGTAGCTGTTGAGAGGAAGGTCATGTCAGTTGTCTTGTCTATTATGTGGCTTGCGGGTTGTCCATCCGGCCCTGGTATGTCCTGTGTCCGATGGCTCGCAACGATCTCAAATTCCGTTGTGGATGATTTTCTTTCTTTGTGCGCTCGTTTCTCAACTCATTTTTCAACTCGCTTTGCCATCTCTTTGGGTTTTGGATCGAGGAATTGCTGAAAGTTGACGGGCCATCGAAGGGACAGGACACTGGGTATATTGGGACTGGGGTGACAGTATTGGAAACCATGGCACATACAGATCGACGATCTCTCCCTTGTCGTTCTCCATTTTGGCGGGTTTGGTGGTGAGGTTTTGACGGGCGACGGTGAGGTTGGAGGTGGAGGGTTTTTCTGCCACACATTAAATTCCAAGACTCAAATGATTTGTGTGGGTCATGTGACCTTTTGTCGAGGGCTGGCGCCGATGTGGGGAATGCGTGGTGAGACGCACCAATCACAGTTCGTGGCAATACAAGGCGGTGTCTTGGGTTTATGGCTTCAAGTATCAATTGTAGACTTAGTTTAGTGAACGTTACGTTACACAGGGTGATACATGTATTCTAAAGATGACTCTTTTCCCGTTCTTCCTGGAGAATTTCCTTCTTCCACCCAATAGCCACTTCTCTCGCACTGCCCTTCTTGAACCGCACAAGAACAACTCTATCAGATTCACCTCGCTTGTCTGACCCTTTCAATTCAGGTCCAGGTTCATCAAGGGCCAAGACAGCCCTCCCATCACTAGTCATTTGCATCATCTTCGGAGATATACACTTCTGCGTCCATGGTGGAGACCCTGAATGTACAAATTCGACGAGCGCTTGACGGCGATTCTCCATATCTTCCAGAGAAGCATCTACTCGAGGCTCCTTGTCCAGGAACCCTGATACCAGATGCAGGAGAAGAAACTGTGGCGGGAAGAGAATGATTTCTGCTTTTTGCGCAAGGCTAATCCACTCCGATGCTGGAAGGAACTGCGCCTCTGTAACTTCAATGCCGCCATCGCTAGTTGGTATCTCGAGCTCATCGCGTTCACCCTCTGCGGGCAGTTCGGCGAGGAGCTTCTTGTCCACGTTTACGGGTAATGGCAAGAAATAGAGATACATCTGAGTGGTGTATCGCTTAGGAACATTGGTTGGTGTAACCCAACGCGTGAACGGGATTAATTGATCTTTTGGAAGGTTAGTCAAGGGTTCGTATAGGAAATCAACTTCGGTAAAGATGAACTAGACACTCACCTAGATCAGGCTCAGCGTTAGCATTCTGTTGCTTAAGCCACTCGTCAAATGTGACCTTATTCTGATGGATTAGTCGTCGGCCAGCTTCTCGGGTGGGCTCGTCAACGGCGAGCATTTTCCCAGAGGTCCGATCAACGGCGAGAAGGATTCCACTCTCTTCAAAGAGCTCCCTGATCGCTGCGTGTCTGTAGCTAGGTGAATCGTCGTGCCTTGCTAGGTCTTCGGGTGGTGGACATGGCCCATCTTGGCTGGATAGGTTGCCGCCTGGGAAGACATGGGCAGAGGCGAAAGAGCTAGATGTCTGGACACGATGAAGTAGAAGGATCTCGTTCTTTGAAGAGACAAGTAGTACACTAATATAATCAGTTATGTGTCATGATTAAAATGTAGAAGGAGACGCGACAGCTTTTCACACGACATGCAGGGGCCGCTTACCTGGAACTGGGCCGGGGTACCGCAGGCTGCTTCTTCTGACCGTCCTCCTTTGCGCGTGGCATTTTCGGGTTTTGAATGTCTGGATTTGTTTCAGATGAATATGTCCTCGGCACAGCTATGCAATCCAGGTGTTGAAGAGACCGTGGCCGAATGTGAGATGGAAATGCCCGAATAACGAGGCTGGGAGAAACTCGATTGCCCAATGCGTGTGATAATCGACCGCTGAGACGTTGAAATATGGCCGACATCTCAAGATCTCAAAGCCGAGGAACAAGTCCTTGCGTTTATAGAAGACAACCACCCGAGAGCCTAGGCTGTCCCCTGTTACCCCGCGTGCAGTTTAACCAGATCGAGTCTAGCCGAACCCGGCGCCATGTGCTTGAACAACCACATCTACATCTACACTATTTTACACGGAATGATGATGGAATGAAAAAATAAACATGTTTGTTCATTAACAGAAATGGCGTAAATCTTCAAATCGTAAACTCCTATCCGTTACCCTTTTTTATTTTCCAGGCCATATTTCATCGGTTTAACCCCGAGACATATTCACAACGAAAAAAAGACCAGTTAACAAGAGGCTTGGATCTTACGCGTAAAGTTTCTTGTCGTAGCTGTGGAGACCGTGGACGTTACCCTCGGTCATAGCACTGGCACTTCGCATCTCGAAGCGGACAGTGCCGTCGTTGACACCGTCGTGCATAGCGGTCAGGCTGGGGCGACCGATGTCCTGCAGAGAGTGCTGGATACCGGCGACAAGGTAAGGAATGAACTTGGTGACGGAGCCACGGTCAAGGACCGAGCCAGCCACACCCTGGGCGACAAGGACATTGGCCTTCTCGGAGAAGTAGCGAGCGGTACCAGCGTTGCTGGCCTTGCTGTCCTTGGCACCGTTGCCGGCCTTCTTGTCCTCCATGGCGGCGATACTACCCATGCCACGGTAGGCCTTGACGAGCTGACCCTCGTTGCTGACGTAGTACTCGCCAGGAGACTCGGTGGTACCGGCAAGGAGACCACCCATCATGACAGTGCTGGCACCCATGGCCAGACCCTTGACGATGTGACCAATGTTCTGGACACCACCGTCGGCAATACAGGGGACACCGAAGCGAGCGGCGAATGATGCAACGCTGCGCACGGCGGCGGCCTGGGGACGGCCAACGGCCATGACCTCCTGGGTGATACAGGCACTACCGGAGCCCATGCCAATTCTCAGGCCATCGACACCGGCAGAGATCAAAGCAGCAGCCTGCTCACGTGTGACGACGTTACCGCCGATAACGTCGATCTCGGGGAAAGTCTTCTTGACGTACTTGATCATCTCGATCTGGAACATGCTGTTACCCTGGCTGCTGTCCAGGATAACAATGTCAAGGCCAGCCTCAACAAGGAGCTTGAGGCGGGTCTTATCCTCCTCACGAGTACCGATGGCAGCGGCACAGATGAGCTGCTTGGAGTCGGGGAGCTTGGAGGCGAGGGGGTAGTGGAGGTTCTTCATCAGGTCAGAGCGGGAAAGCAGAGAGACGATGTTGCCATTGGAGTCAACAATAGGAAGCTTTCCCTTCTTAGACTGACGGAGAACCTCGTTGGCCTCCTGCAGGGTGGTACCGGCAGGGGCAGTAACAAGATCCGTGGCCATGATGGCAGTCACGGGATCGTTCAGCTCACGGTGGAACTGAATGTCACGGGAGGTGACCATACCAACGAGCTTGGAGCGGAGGGTTCCGTTTTCTGTGACTCAACATTAGCATTCTGCTGGCAAAAGCTAATGTGTGAAACAAAGTCCAAAAGATAGACAAAATTGCTCAGATAATATCGGTTCTCTACAATGCAGCTTTCGCTGCTACAGTGGAACGAAAGTTATAAATAAAAAGATGTATGGTCATCATGCAAGGTTGGGATTGGTGCTGCAGGGGAATTGAGTATATTTGACTTACCAGTGACAGGGAAGCCACCGAAGCCCCACTTCGCTTTCAACTCCTTGGCCTCACCGACGGTGGCCGTGGGAGAGAGCACAACGGGGTCCAGGATGAAACCGTTCTCGTATCTCTTCACCTTGCGGACCATCTCGGCCTGGTCCTCGGGGGAGCAGTTGTGGTGGATGACACCGAGACCACCGAGCAGGGCCATGTGGATAGCCATGTTGTGCTCGGTGACAGTGTCCATGGGGGAGGACACAAGGGGGGCCTTCAGCGAGATACGCTTAGTGACCGGGGTGGTCAGGTCAACTTCGTGGGCACCGAAACCTATACAAATTAGTAATCCATTTTTCGATTTTTTTCTTTTCCCAATCGGCGCGGGGTTCGGCTTACCGATGTAACCGGGGAGGATCAGGAAATCGTTGTAGGTCAAAGCACCGTGCTTGTCAGAGTCAAGCAGGGTATCAACGTCCAGACCATCCGGGGTGGTGTAGGTCTTCAACACCTCCAGGGCGTTGGCGTAGTCCTGGATCTCAGCCTTCATAGCGGCACCGGGTGCAGCGTCGTTGGCGCTGATAGGCATTTTTAATAAAAAGAATGCCCAGAAAACAAAGTATGAGACACGACTTGAGTCAAATTAATCAACAGAAAGGAAACGTTCTGCTGATGGAGAAAGTCGAGCTTTCCCAAGGAAGAAAAAGAAGAAGAAAAGGCTCGAGCGAAAAATTGCATCCTTTTCTCTTCCGTGCACGGCCACATCAGGCTTTGCGCTTTCCTATATTTGGTTTAGCGTACCGGCTCTTGTCTGGTTCACCCCGTTGATTGGCTGGTAAACGAGGTTCGCCAGGGCGGTGAGCTGGTCAAAAGCGTGTGCAAGGTACCTGGACTATACCTGCATATGGTTCCTTTACTTTTGATCTGATGTAACATTTCACTATAGAGTCTGACTAGTCGTCGATCATGTATCACGGGTATCAATGGCCACCTGGACATGCATATTGCTGTTCTTGGAGGGGCCTGTATAGTATATCCGATAAAAAACCGCAATGCATAGTATCCTCAACCTGATATTGAGCCAGACAATCCGGGAACTGTGTTTTGTTGATATGGTTTGCTGTGCAACAATCAGGCTCGGTTGTCACCGGATTCAACTCCCGTACGCGGAAGCATGACGACTGAATGACAGTAGCATATGGGGCAAATAGCTGTCGATAATCCATGTCTTGAACAGCCTGAAGATAAAACCTTAGCCTCATGCTGTTCAAACGGGAGTTCATGATAATTTCCCTGTGGCTCCAAGACAAGTCATTTCAATATGGAATCTGATTCAGCTATGGGCGAGCGTGGCGCCTTCAAGCCTGCACCAGGGGCACAGAGTCAGAATAAACCAGGGTGAGGAATACATCACCGCGAATAAACATCAAGTCTAATGCAGAGGTCCAGCTTGGAAAGCAGAATGAATTTGCCTAGCGAGTCGACCAAATTGGAAGGCAGTGGCAGCTTCAGGGAATATGGAGGTTCGGGCAAGCTGAACAACAAAAACGCACTCATTACCGGTGGAGAGTATGTGCAATGCCAACCATATGCACGGTGGCTAATGAGTCTCCAGTTCTGGAATCGGGCGATCGGTAGCTATTCTGATGGCAAGAGAGGGCGCGGATGTCACGATCGTTTATCTGCCGGCGGAGCAATTAGATGCTGAGGAAACAAAAAGATCTATTGAGAAAGAGAAACGGGGCTGCTTATTGATCGCAGGAGACTTGAGAGATAGAAAAACGTGTCTCCACGCAGTGGATGAACATGTGAAGAGGTGAGTTTGGAGTACTATTCCCACGAATTGCAGGGCTGATACTTGATGTTGCAGATATGGCAAGATCAATATTCTTGTTAACAACGCATCAAAGCAGTACAAGACTCAGGAATTCCTGGATATTGATTTGGAAAAAGTTGAGGACCTATTCCGAACCAACATACTCCAAATGATTGCGATGGCGAAGTTCGCGCTTCCTCATATGTCTCGAGGTGATTCGTAAGTTCTTTGATCGTTTCTAGGATAAGTTATACAGTATTGCTGACGAGCTGCAGAATCATCAACACTTCTTCTATTGTGGCTTTTCGTGGCTCAGGATCTATGATTGATTACTCTGCAACCAAAGGAGCCATCATCTCTTTCACTCGATCGTTGGGGACATACTTGATTCCCAAAGGCATCCGAGTCAATGCAGTAGCGTAAGGATCACCCCCCATCGCTGGGATTATATTGACTTTATTGCTCACAGTCCAGGTGCTATTTACACACCAATTCAAGTCGATACTCGAGACGCCCAGCAAATGGAAGGCTGGGGTCATAAGGTTGGGCTTGGCCGACCAGGTGAGCCGAGTGAGGTTGCGACAAGCTTCGTCTTCTTGGCTAGTGCGGATGCTACTCTATACTGTGAGTGGCCAACAGGCCTTTGTGACAACATCATTTCGGGTCAGGCTAACCTAGCATCTAATTAGACGGACAGGTCCTGCACTGTTATCCGCTTGGAGACTGAGGAGTGCTACAACGGACGTTTTTCTACCCCTCCAAAAAATTGTAAATGTCACTGGATTAATACGTGTTGGCATAGACAACGTGTATTCTTGTCTTTGGTATCAAATTGAAATGCAACTGAACATGAAATCAAGTGAGAAGCCAAGGCTTCGCTCCAGCGAGAGCTTTGTCCCATCCCTCGTCATTTTGCCAGATGGCGACGCTCTCAACCTCTTCTCTGCCCAGTCTCAATCCATTGTAGAGGTGCTTTCCCCATATTAGTAGATGGACAGTGTTTGAATTTAGACGTTTAACTCACAGGGAAGAGTCCCTCGCCAGGTCGAGGGCCGCTCACTTTCCCGTCTGGAGATTCCCATCGAATATCTTGTAACACGCGGTGGTATTCGATGCGCAACACATAGACAAGAGGTTCTTCGGCGAAGAAGGTCTTCAATGTATTTGGGACCTGATGCGCCTGCGAAAGGTGGATGTAGCCAGAGCTCTGATCAAGGTCACTGATTGGAAGCCGCTCGGGAATAGGCTCGCGGACCGGCGCGGTAGACGGCACGATCTTGTAGAGGTAGCGAGGCTGCGAGCTGAGGGATGTCATGATGAAGATGATGGATTGAAGGAGGGAAAGTCACCGATGTAATGACTTTGTTGATCACAGTGAGGGAAAATGTTTGTCAGCTGGTTTCATTGGGTCGTATTGGCGGGGTCGGTTCACCCGGCTCAACTATTGCGCAATGATTGACTTCTTATCTGTTTGTCTAAGATATAGTAAAGATAATGCATCTATTCAATGGTTTAATTAAATCAAGCTCATGGATTGGTATAAGATCATGTCTATATTTCAAACTAAATTTTGTGGAGATATATACGTAGTGTGAGATTCGATACGCCTCACTCCACCATGGCTTAAAAATATATATATATATATATATAGCCCTAAGTAATGCCATCATCTACACCACTGCACCAGGATCGGAATCACAGAATTATGATTGTTTACCTGAAGCAATTTAACCCGAAAATTGGTTATAATTATAACGATCTAATGGCACTACATGTACGATCTTACAGACAGTAAGACGTGATGGTTTATTTTAAACCCCAATGCCCAAACAACCGACGAAAAAGGTACATCTCCTACACATAAGCAGAAAAACCACTCCAAACTAAAGCACTGCACTTAGGATTACAAGGCTGGTACCGAATATGATGGTCGCACGGGACTACGAGGCACTAAAATTTGCCAAATCGAACACCAGCCACTGACGCCAAGTCTGTATACACCTTGGCAATACTGTATGACATTGGGATTTTTAAGATTGTAGCATATATCGGACAACCTGGTAACAGATATAATTGTAGATCTACTTTGGACACCATGAATATAGTAGGAGACTGATACGTCGTCAATATCGTAGAACACACGTGATCTGAGATCGACAAAGCCACAATCACCTGATGGCGCCATACCCGATCTGGAGATTTGTTGTGCCCCCTGTGCCCCGTTTTGGGGAATCTCGGTCGCACTTGCCTCCCCCACCGTCAACAAGAATCCCGCAAGCTCGCGACTACATACCTTGCCATTTCCCAAGCCATGCGAATTTGCCCTTGATTTCATATCTTGGTATCCCAATCTCTTCGGTCTGAGACCTTGTTTGACCCGCGCATTCCGCTTGTTCTGCCAGAGCAGGGATGCGGTCAATCAAACACAGGAATTCCCCATCGATTTCGCATACCCGCTTCTAGACTAAGTGATGTCAACTCAATTCCCATCGCTCAAACGGGCCCAGACGGACCTCCCTGCGCAGTCCTCCAGCCCATTACGACACGGGTCGACAGCGTCCACGAACTCATCTGCCTACTCTGTCGCGTCAAGTTCATTTGTCCCGAGTCGAACCAGCACTGTCTCCTCTAATGCGTCGATACCAAACACATTGGGCCATCTGCGAGGGAAGAGCGAAGCAGCCAGTATAGGCTCAACAAACACCGTCACGGACGCAATGGAACGAGGAACCTGGTCAAATGCTGGCTCGGCATACGACAACATTCGCCGATCACTGCGCCCACTCTCTCAGGCGCCCAATGCATCCTCTATTGTGAATACGGGGGGATACCGACACTCACGAAGCAACACCCTCGATGAATCACATCCCTGGAAGGACGCTCGACCCAGCACACCCGAATCACGCCATGTCCGCCAGCAAGAGAACGAGTCTCCACGTTACAAAGCTCACGCTTTCGAGTCACAAACCTCTCCACCCGTCTCTCCTCACAACTTCTCTCCTGTTCCCGGAACATCGAGACCCTCGTCTCCTCAAAAGTCACTATCTCACGGTCCTCCACAACTCACCGCCCAGCTTTCGGCTCCAGAGCTTGAAACTTTCCAAAAATCATCTACTGGTCATCTGAGAACCCTTTCCAAGATTGCACAGTCGGGTGAAGGCGAGGATTTCCAGTTTGGCTCATCGACAGGTTCCGTGGTGGGTCTGCAAGGCCGTCGACGCTTGAAGCGTGCGGGTTCGGTAGCCGGGAGGAATGGCGCAATATCACCCGAGAAGCCGAAGGCTTCCTCATGGGCGGCTGGCAACTGGATGGACCAGCAACGTCAATTCATCCAAGCATACGAATATCTGTGCCATATCGGAGAAGCCAAACAATGGATTGAAGATGTGATTCAAAAGCAGATCCCGCCTATTGTTCAGCTGGAGGAAGGGCTTCGAGACGGTGTGACTCTGGCGGAAGTGGTGCAAGCCATGTACTCTGGCCGAACCCTGCGTATTTTCCGACACCCCAAGTTACAGTACCGCCACTCAGATAACATCGCCTTGTTCTTCCGATTTCTTGATGAGATTGAGCTCCCAGAGCTGTTCCGATTCGAACTCATTGATTTGTACGAGAAAAAGAATCTTCCCAAGGTCATCCATTGTATCCATGCCTTGTCTTGGCTTCTTTTCAAGAATGGCATGCTGGACTTCCGCATGGGCAACTTGGTGGGCCAACTCGAGTTTGAACATCACGAACTTGAGAAAACTCAGAAAGGTCTCGACAAATCTGGTGTCAGCATGCCTAGCTTTGCGGGCATGGCCGCAAACTTTGGCGCTGAGCCCGAGCCCGAACCCGTCGAGTCAGAGGAGGAACGCATCGATCGAGAACTACATGAAAATGAAGCTGAGATCTGCGATTTCCAGGCTCAAATCAGAGGCGCCATGTTGCGATTACAGCTTGGCAACACCATGACAGATCTGTGGGACTTTGAGCCCCTCTTGATTGAATTGCAGTCACGTCTGCGCGGGGACTTTGCACGCCAGATCAGTAATTACCGACTCAGTATGTATCAATTTGCAGTTGAGCTACAAGCAATTAGTCGAGGGTTTGTTGTACGCCGTCGGCAACAAGACGACCACCACTGGCGCCAAGCCCAAGAACACGATGTTTTGCAGCTTCAGAGCTTGATTCGAGCGTCTAAAGCACGTTCTCGGGGTGCTCTTTTGCAAACTCGCGTGCGACGAGAAGAGTCTGGAATCAAGCAGTTCCAGGCCGCGATTAGGGGTGCAATGCAACGTATGAACGTTGCTGATCAATACCAGCAATCCCGACAATCACAAAACGATGTCACCAACCTTCAATCCGCCATTAGAGGTGCATTACAACGAATGAGTGTTTCTTATTTGTACGAACAGTCTCGGCAAGCAGAAAACGATGTCACCAGCCTCCAATCAGCCATCAGAGGTGCATTGCAGCGTACGAGCGTTTGCGAGCAATACGATGAGTCTCGGCAAGCAGAAACTCAAGTCATATCCCTTCAAGCTGCCATGAGAGGTGCCTTGTGCCGAACCCGGATGAATGCCCAGTCGCATGAAGTCAAAGAGGTCGAGACTCCAGTCCGGTCACTACAAGCGGCCATCCGAGGATTCTTGGCTCGACAGCAAGTGTCTGGCACGAAAGCTTTACTCAGCAAAGAAGCTTCTCATATCACGATTGTTCAATCTAATGTCAGGGCTTTGATAGCTAGAACACGTCACTGTCAGTTGTTGCAAGAACTGGCATTGACCGAGGATGAGTGTGCTACACTGCAAGCTCTGGCACGGGCCGCGGCGGTGAGAAAGAATAATACTGCTCTTCGCGCCGAGCTTGCTGAACATCTATCGCTAGTGATCAACCTCCAGGGTATTCTCAGGGGACAGGTGTTGAGACAGTCATTAGACGAACAAAGGGCGGCTCTGTCTAAGGAGGAACTTTCAATATTGGACTTGCAGTCTCGAGTCCGAGGTGTGATCCACCGGAACCACTTGCTCGCAGAACGCAATGTACTGGATCAGGAAGAGCATGCCATCATTGATCTCCAGGCACTTGCTCGTGCTGCCATCTCGCGCATTGAGGTTGGCGACATTCTGTCCCGCCTGGAAGATAGCGAGGAGGATATTGTTCAGCTTCAAGCTCTATCTCGGGCAATGCTCGCACGAGTCGAAGTTGGTGATATTTTGACCGATCTTGAGGCCGAGGAAGAAATCATCGTTGATATCCAGTCGCGCATGAGAGGTATTTTTATTCGCAACCAATTTGAAGAAAGACGTCGCCATTATAACGAAAACATGGAGAAGGTCATTAAGGCACAGAGTGTCATCCGAGGCCGGATTCAGGGTCAGGCTTACAAGAGCTTGACCAGTGGAAAGAACCCACCCGTTGGCACAGTCAAGGGCTTCGTGCATCTTCTCAACGATAGCGATTTCGACTTCGACGAGGAGATCGAATTTGAGCGCCTGCGGAAGGTGGTTGTTCAGCAAGTGCGACAGAATGAGATGGCTGAACAATACATCAGCCAACTTGACATCAAGATCGCTCTCCTTGTCAAGAACAAGATCACACTTGACGAAGTTGTCAAGCATCAAAAACATTTCGGCGGCCACATTGGAAACCTTCTGTCCAACACTGAGATCTCTTCCAAAGATCCGTACGATCTCAAGGCCCTGAACAAGACTTCAAGAAAGAAGCTTGACCAATATCAGGTGTTCTTTTTCCTCCTTCAAACCCAATCACAGTACTTGGCTCGGTTGTTCAAACGACTGCGTGAGGTCAATACCTCGGACAAGGAATATGAGAGGATCAGGCACTTGATGATGGGTCTCTTTGGTTACTCCCAGAAAAGACGCGAGGAGTATTACCTCATCAAGCTTCTGTCACGATCTGTTAAAGAAGATATCGAGAGTTTCACGTCCCTTCCTGAGTATCTGCGCTGCACATCCTTCTGGAACAAGCTTTTCGCCTCTTATGCTAAGTCACCCCGCGACCGAAAGTTCATGCGCGATGTACTGGGAGCTGTTGTGAAGGAGTCTGTCATTGACAACCCGGATCTTGATCTAGAGAGCGACCCCATCCAAATCTACCGTTCTGCGATCAACAACGAGGAGCTTCAAACGGGTCAACGAAGCCGCCGACAGCCAGATCTTCCCAGAGAGGAAGCTATCCGAGACCCTGAAACCAGAGAGACATTTATTCAGCATTTGCAGGATTTGCGTGATATTGTTGATCAGTTCTTCTTGGGCTTCGAGGACTTCCTCTACCGTATGCCATTCGGCATCAGATACCTCGCACAGCAGATGTACCAAAATCTGCTCGAGCGCTTCTCTGGGGAAGACCAAGGTTACATCCTACAAACGGTTGGCCACTGGGTATGGAAGAACTATTTCCAACCCGCTGTGCTAGAGCCAGAAAAATATGGAGTTGTTGACCGAGGTTTGACCCAAGAACAAAAGCGCAATTTGGGAGAAATCTCCAAGGTTGTCGCACAAATCGCTTCTGGAAGACTGTTCGGTGCCGAAAATGTCTATCTACAGCCACTCAATACCTACATTGCAGAGTCAATCCAGCGCTTAGGCCGAATCTGGGGCCAGAGTAAGACTCACGTTACCATTTTCCGTCTTCGATGCAACTAACATGACATAGTGATTTCGGTCCAGGATGCAGAGACCTATTTCGACATCGACGAATTCAACGATCTCTATGCCAAAGCCAAACCTACACTGTACATTAAGATGTCAGACATCTTCTCGATTCACCAGTTGGTCGCATCAGAGATCAACCACATGTGCACCCACCCCGATGACTTCCTGAAAGATCTTGTTCGTGAATTGGGCAACGTGAAGAGCAATGAGAACGAATTGATGGCCGTCAGCTCTACCGAGATCAACCTCACATTGAACCCGAAGCTGGCTCAGGTTGAAGGTAAGCATTGCAACTTATTACATGTCTCTTCTTTTACTGAACCCTCCCCCAGACCCGGAAGCGGACATCAAAACGCTCTTCATGGAGACCAAACGATGTATTCTCTACATTATTCGAGTCCAGACCGGCTCCAACTTGATGGAAGTCATGCTCAAGCCACCAACGGTTGAAGATGAAGAAAGGTGGCAGACATTGGTTCACGAGGAGATCAACACCAACAGCCCACGCCGAGGTGCCTACTCCGAGGCTAATAGCTTGATTGACATTGGATCCATGGGCTATGCAGAGCTCAAGGGTATCGCACTTGAGAACATCCTTCGACTCGAACAAAGTGGCAAGATCAACCGTCACAACCATTACCAGGACCTATTGAATGCCATTGCATCCGACATTCGCACCAAGCATCGTCGGAGAATCCAGCGAGAGCGTGAACTGGAAGGTGCTCGATTGACCTCTCAACGCCTGAGCGGCCAAGCCGTGTACTTAGATCAGCAGCTCAAGACCTACAATGACTACATCGAGCAAGCCATGATCACGTTGCAGAACAAGAAGGGGAAGAAGCGTTTCCTTATGCCGTTCACCAAGCAGTGGGATCATCAGAGGGAACTCAAAAAACAGGCAAGGTGTTCAAGTTTGGATCTTACAAATACTCTGCTCGCACTCTGGCCGATCGAGGTGTTCTGGTCGCCTGGAAGGGCTATTCCGAGCGACAATGGGATCGTGTCGACCTGACAATTTCCAGTAATGAAGTCGGCGTCTTCACCATTGATGGCAGCAGCGGAAATATGATGATCCCAGGCGCCAATGCACAGGTACCGCTGGACGACTTGCTGCAGGCTCAGTTCAACAACACGCAGTTCATGGATTTCTTCGACGGACATATGCGGGTCAATGTCAACCTTTTCTTGCACCTGATTATGAAGAAGTTCTATAATGAGTGAGTATTATGTCTTATGGACTTGATGAGGAATGAATCGGGTGCACATTCTTATTGATATTATTATTTCCTGTCTTCTTTTATTTCTTTGTTTAAGATACCTTGGGTATTTTGTTGATTTCATAGCGATAGCGCTCGGTTGACCGAGCGAATGACATGTACACAGTATGATTCCATGCAAGAGTCAATTATAAAAGATTCAATATTTGGTCTCCCTATAATCGGTTAAAAAACCGTTTAAAAAACTTGCTTCTTGCAGGTATCGAAGTAGGTCAGGGGCTGCCACGTGACGCGTGGCGCATCAATCGGGCCAGCTGGAATCCCATCCCCCTCCAACTGCCCTGCCAACAGTTCTGAGGGATATCGAATCCAGCTCCTTTGCAGCCGTCGGCTTCCAATTGCTTGCGCTTCCTACTGCCTACTCTCAGCCGAAATCATCCTCTTTCCTACGTGTCTTGACTGAAAGCCACCACACCTCTCGCCATGGATTTCTCCAATCTCAAAGATCAGGTCAGCAATATGACCTTGTATGACCTCAAGGCCGGTGTCCGCAAAGTCCAAAATGGTATGATTGTATTCCGCTTGGTCCGAATGCACTCTGGCAGGACGAACCAGCTTGCATCTCTTATTATATGTGGTATCTGACTTGACCGCTCCATCATAGCCGTTATGAACTATACCGAGATGGAATCCAAGGTCCGTACACGACAGCTCACCTCCGCGCAAGACAACCCGGCCAGCCTTTAAAGCTCCGAGAGCGTGGACTCAGTATTTCTGTGCGACGCAATGCTTGCTTACACGGATTAGGTTCGGGAAGCTACAAACAATGAACCTTGGGGTGCCTCGACTACGTTGATGCAGGAGATTGCCAATGGAACGCATAGCTAGTCAGTTTCTGCCTGACCTCGTCTGTGCCAATGCGCATGTGCTAAATATCATGATTACAGCCAATTGCTCAATGAGATCATGCCCCTGATCTACAAACGGTTCACCGACAAGGCCGCGGAGGAATGGCGACAGATTTACAAGGTATGGAAGAACTGGCTCATTATGAAGAAATGTTTCCGGACTAATGGTGCCTTCTTTTGCGATATATAGTCTCTCCAACTGCTGGAATTCTTGATCAAGAACGGTTCCGAGCGGGTTGTCGACGATGCGCGATCCCACATGTCCTTGATCCGCATGTTGCGGCAATTTCACTTTATTGATGCGAACGGAAAGGATCAGGGTATCAATGTGCGCAACCGGTCCTCCGAGCTGGTGAAATTGCTAGGCGACGTGGATCAGATTCGCACCGAGCGTAAGAAGGCCAAGAACAACCGCAACAAGTTCAGCGGGTTCGAAGGTGGCATGGGTGCTGGAATGAACAGCTCCAGCTCCGGCCGGTATGGAGGCTTTGGCAGTGACAGCATGGGGTACGGTGGATACAGCGGAGGAGTCTACGGTGACGGTGGCGGCTTTGGCGGCGCATCTGGGGGCGGCGATTTCCAGGACACGGGACGACGCACGAACCGATTCGAGGAGTACGACGAATATGACGAGGGTGATGCAGCTCCCGCGCGCTCGCGCGAACCTGCCACTCGCGCGAAACCCCCGCGGCCAAGCCAGAGCCAGCTCCTGCTCCGGTAGCGGACCTCTTCGACTTTGGTGACGACGAGCCTGTCACCACAACCTCCACTGCTGCCGGCAAGCAGCCCGCAGGCAGTGGTATCAACATGCTAGACAACACAGCCGACGACGACGAATTCGATGACTTCCAGTCCGCAACCCCCGCCCCTCAGCCCCAAACGGCGTCATCCAACTTCGCCATCGCACCTCCGGCCTCCACCGCCAGTACCACTTCCAACACACAATTCGTCGCACCAAAGCCAATCTCGGCCTCGCAGGGTGCCGACATCAACGGCCTGGTCGGCTTTACATCGGCCACCCCAACTCCCTCCAACAGCGGCTTCACCTCTCCCACATCCCAGCAGCCTAAGCCCTCAGGTTACCAAGCTGCCATGCCCAACTACTTCACCTCAGTCTCCAACAACAATCAGCAGCAGCAACATGGCTCATTCTCCCACACCTCCACTCCCTCCCTGTCCTCCGCGACCTCCCCCACGGCTACAGCCAACAAGCCCGCCACCCAAGCAGCTAAGAAGCCCTCCGGCGACGCCTTCGGCTCGCTCTGGTCCACCGCCAGCGCCAGCGCTGGTATCCAAAAGTCCAACACCGGTACAAACAAGGGCCCCAACCTGGCCAGCATGGCCAAGGAGAAGGCCAGCGCCGGTATCTGGGGTGCCCCGGCTCCATCCAGCTCTGTTTCTACGCCGAGCCAAAGACAGCCCCAGCAAAAGCAGCAGTCCAGCTCTGCCTTTGATGATCTACTCGGCTAATCTTTTGAGCGTCGTATCTTGCCTCTTGATTTCTTCCTTTCTTTGCACTGAGTACATTCCATGCTCATTTCTTCGATTTGCGATCTGGGCCAAGATTTTTTAGCATTCATAATCCCAGACCTTATTTGCCTCTTGTTCTTCTCTCACTGTTGTTTTGGTATACTCCTTTCTCCATTCTCAGTTTCTATCTCCATTGTCTTTTTTCCGGCTTTTATAGGACTCTGTTGTTTTTGGCAGAGAGCCAGTCGTTAAAAGATCTTCTTTTCGCCCTCTCAACCCGCACCCCAAAGGTAAAAAGCTGTCGTCCCATACCCTTTTCTAGGCGCTTCTCTCAGGAGTTTGAATAAAAGCCCATTCCCGCATATTTGGTATTATGGTTATCAAAAAGAACCAGTCCGTGAATGAGATCTCTATGCATGAATTGAGTTAGATCCTGTAAGAATGAGCATCCATGTATTAAAATGTCTTCTGGAGCCGTGGTTCTTCGGCCTCGACCTCTAGGAACAGTATAGCTATGCTACAAAGTTGACTATCCATCTTTATTTAGCTATGTACTAACGTTAAGAGGAAATACACTGACCACTTTCCCATCTCACCAACAAACACACGCCCCTCTCAATCTATCTGACGACAATAAACCTAAGATAACAAAGGAATAGTATGGATTCGAATAGGCATTACGCTGATGCTCATTGATGCTGGTATAACGCCTGCGCTGAAGGAAGCTAGATACAGGTAGACAGGTAGAGGGAGGCGCAGGGGGGATAATAGGACGACGGAAGACAGAACAGTAAGTAAGAGTAGGAATAAGAGTAAAGGTAAGGTAAGGTAAACGGGATGCAAAATACTAGGAGCAGTATCAACAGGAAACCAATATCCTCTTTACTTACTCCGATGTTTCCCGAATATGGATTAAAAGAACATGAAGTGCAATCGTGAAGACAGGTATACGTTAAGAAGCAGGACGTTGGGAATATCTCTTTCCACCGCATGGTGGTGAGATGGGACGGGGAAGGTTGGTGGAGGATAGGTTGAAAGTTGGGTTGGGGGAGTTTGCGATGAAATGGGCAAGCCGTTGATAGAAGCGAAGGTCGGTCTTGGGTATGTAGATTGCATAAAGATCATCAGGGATGGTAATCTGATAATCTTGTTTTGATTTGGTTTGGTTTGGGGCTGTGGCAGGTGATCTACCAAAGCAAAGTGCTGGATGCCTGTTGAAACGGCGCACAGAGCCACGAGCGAGCTTTATGCTCGCTACTCCATGGGGAGCGGCGAGCATAAAGCTTCGGCTCATGGTGTTAATGCGACTTAAATCATCTCTTTGTGAGCCGTGCGCGGCAGCCAAGGGTTTGGATCGAAGCCAATCGTGGCTGATAATCGATTGCTTCAGGTCTTGGTCGACGTGCCGGTACCGTTGCCATCGCCCGAAATAGTTTCAGCCGAGGTGCTCTCTGCGCTTGATACTTGTGTTGAAGTTGCAGGAGTGTTGCCATTTGTGCCCTCGCTTTCAGACTGAGTAGTATTTCCGTGGAATGAAGGCCGCTCGGTCTGAGTTGGGGTACAAATTTGGTCAGACTCATTGGTGTCTGCGCCCGATCCGGTGACCTCGAGACCCTCTCCATTCAGTGATGTCAGACCTCCTTCGATGTCCCGCAAAAGCCGCACAAATTCTTCTGGGACGAGTCCATTCTCGCCCGTTTTGGGGTCTTCTGCAACCAGCCAGCCTTGGCCGTGCCGGTAGGAAACGTAAATCACCTGGCCCTCAGTAAGAGGAAGCTCGTTCTCATGCTCTCGGGTAAAGTCGAAGAGTGCCACGGCTTTTCCATGCATCTCTTCATCTGGGCAGCCGACGGCAAACTGGTAGTCGTTGGAGTACCGGTCTCCACCTGATATTTCATCTTCGGACTCAAAGCCGGGGTCGTGTTCATAAATCTGCTGGCCACCTGGGGCACTGTATCCCATCATTGAATACCGCCCCTCATTTGGCGGATATGTTATGTACTCCCCGCCTGGTCCATCATCTGAGTCGTCCCCGTCATTCACATAGTAGGTCTCACTACCGTCAGCGTTAATTCCGACGAGTGTTCCCCGATCATTATTCCCAGCCGACTGACCGGTTCCTGACATTACTCGCTCGTCAACGAGACCATTAATGTCGGTAGACCTCTTGCGATGGCGTGAAGTGACTACTGGACTATGCAAGTCTTCATCTTCGCTATATGGGGGACCGTCTCCAAAGGACATCGCTGGCAACTGCTGGTGGCCATGGTGGGTAGGTTCGTTGCCCCATTGAGCCGTTGACCAAGGTCCCCGCGAGGTATCCCATGAGGTCGGTGGGTCAGACAAGCGTCGGTATTCACTTGCTGGTGTAGAGACCCCGGAGGCGCGAGGGGGAGGAGGCCCGTAGTGGAGAGGGTGGATAGACGGGTAGGCAAAGTCCCGCACAAGGGCATATGGAAGACTAGTATGGAAGATGGGGAAGACGTGGGAGCCTGGGCGCGAACGATTTTGTGAGGCGAACGAGACGTTGGAGTAGGTGGAGAGCCGATCCTTCGCATTCGTCGGTAATCGTTTCACAGTCCCATCAGTGAGGAGGGGCGCTAAGCCCGACAGATTGTCCGCGGACAGAGTGTTCTCCGTGGAAGTCGAGGAGGACATCATGGTTGACATGGGGAGAGGCCAAAAGTGGATTGAGGATGAGGAATATCTGTGCGGGTTCTCAGAGGAAATGTGGGGGTGTTCATCGGTCGCGTGGGTGCCGCTCTAGTTTCGCATTGCGATTGATGCAGCTCCGTCCGTCTGATGCGCAGTCGCAGAAAGCCGGGACTCTTCTGTTGTCCTCCAAACCCAAAGAAGAGAGTATCTTGAGATCGGAGATAGCAGATATTGAGTTCGGGCGCAAGGCAGCAAGTGCCAAGTGGTAGTCAAAAAGCCTTAGAGATAGGTTCTAAATGGCCTTGTGTGTCAAGCTCCTTGACACAAAGTGTCCCAGGGCCTCCAAGTTATCGGACCAGGTGGGTGGATGGATAATCGGCAAACGACACGAGGGGAGGGGGTCGAATGTGGCCCGAGTGGATATGCCGAACCGCAACAGTCCCACGATGAGATGTCAGCGTTGTAGTAGACGAGTATGTGAGTATGCGAGGGTTGCCAAGTGGAATGTCCAGGTTGAGATTGGCGAAATCGGAACCGTTGTTCCAGACGTTGTTCCAGACGTTGTCCCGCGATCTCGAGGGTAGGGAATTGCTAAATATAGCAAAACTGCAGAAAGGGCCAATGTCAGATACAAATGTAACGGAGGCACGGCGCTTATGCGGGAAACACTGTGCAAACACCACAGTGACAAGGATTAAGTCCCAACGGCCACATGGGAATGTCCAGGGAGGAATAGGCTCAAGAGTCGGAGATTGTCATACCTGTCTAGTCTCAACTGGAGTAGTGATCAGCGCGTAGTTGATTCTGGATCGGGGGAGTATTCCGTGGTGAAGTAGAGGAATAGCCGAGACCGATGTCAACAGCAGAATCAGCCGATATGCAAGGCCGATGCTCGAGAGTCACTGTGAATTGGGGAATTGAAGCTTGAACCCTCACAGCTGCTTAGATAAGCATTTAGCGTGTTTCAGGTCTGGTTGGAGCTAGTCCAGATTGGGTCCTTGTTCTACATTTACATGAGGCTTCAGATACAAATGCTCTATAGGCTTGGCTATAGTAGATCTATGCAAAGCAATGTGACTTGGGGTGTCATTGGTTTCTGAAACACAAGGCAATTCTCTATATACTACAACCATGACTATATATCTACACAAAAGGAATTGTACTTGAAGGATATCACTTGATTGATAATACACAAAGCGATAAAAGCGATGCCCTACATACTACAATTAAAACAAATCTACACAAAGCAACAATATTGTAAAAATGGGTATCATAGTGTTTCTGAAATCTTTAAATAGAACCGACCTCCAGGGCTAGTTCTTTCAAGTCCTCTGCTGCCACCTAGAACAGTGGTTAGCATCCACAAACAGTGATCAATATCCAGTAGGCGATCCAATAATAGTCTGGGTAGTTTTAACAGTTATCCACTCGGTCACAGTCTCCCTGGCTGCTGTGGGCATGCTGGTCACACCCGAAGATTGCTGGGAGGACACCGTTTTGCCAAGCGCATCAAACTGGGAAGGTATGGCAGCATTGTTGAGATCTTGGTCAGATTCATACTCAGGGCTGACGCCCAGCTTGTTGTTGACAGCCTGCACAATATCCACATCCATGCAGGTAGTGTAGATCTCCTGCTTTCCTTTCGGGTAGGTAGGGTCGACACCCGCCTTAGTGGGCCAGTCCCACACCCAATAGAGAGTGTAGGGCTTGCCGGTGGGTGCATTGGTTGGAAGTCGAAGATCCTGCTGGCACCAAAGGTCGGCTCCCATCAGTTGGTTGGCTTTGTGGGCATATTCTTTCTGGCGAGTCTGGGAAATGCTTTGGTCGTTGATTTGGTAGCAGCGGCCGTCATCGAAGTTCTGTTTGGACAGAAGCACACCGCGTCTGTCACCCCCCTTGCCATCTTGTGTCCATTTCCCGTGAATGTCCAGGAGTTTCTCGTCAGTTTTGGGCTGGGTGGTGCCATAGACATAGACAAAACCGCGGTTTGGGGGCTTTCCGGGCTGGTTCTGGGGGAGTGTCACATGGCCGTTTTCTTGATAGCGGAGGGCAATGGCAGCACCAGGATCGGCCTGGAGTCGGGGACTGCCTTCGGTCTGAGCCTGGTCTTGCTGTGTCTCTCTGCACATGTTGTCAACCGGTAGGACCGCTGTGACGTCCTGTCGAGCGTTGGGAGGAATCAGGTAGGTCATTGTATCGACGAAGCCCGGTGTACGGAGAACATTGCCTCGAGCATATCCGGGGGTACCGATGAAGGTTCCATTCGGTGCAATGACTGTGAGTTGTTCCACCCAAGAGTGGGCATTAATTGAGAGGATGTGCAGAGCAAAGAGCACGAGCCAGGTAGGAGAAAACGCCATGTTGAAGGGTTGCAAAGCGTTCTTGTCGCAGTAAAAGGTGGTAAAGATGGAGGAAATGGCGATGAGAGATTTTGGAAGACACCGATCAACAGTGTGGTTTTGATATCAGCTGAATAGAGATTCGTTCAATAGAGCTGAACAAGGTATACGCGGGTCTAGACGAGGACACCAGGTTGCAGCAGGCAACCGCCTTTATGTAGTAATTGTCTCTCCTTGATGTCTGCACAAGCGGAACAAAACGCTTTGTGAAGTGGGTAACAAAGGGTTTCATCCCATTTCAAGGGCCGTTCAAAGCCATGTTGATGTGATTTGGTACTTAGACGTCGAAAATAAAACAAAGGAGGTCTCATTGACTGATTTCTCCTCAATACAACAATATAGATTGGATATCAATGAGAATAAGGAACAATAGTCAAGAATTCGATTTCCACTGGGGACGTTGCAAATATAGGACATATTGTCCAGCACGGGGCATACTCGCGCCTAATTGGAGCCTCCAAATAATCTGATACAGACAAGACCACAAACAACATCACGCCTCAAACAAGCAGTCTGTTAATAGACTGTCAAATGAGCCAGATGTCATTGGCCGTATCTAAATAAAGTATGACCGGGGGGATGATTGGGTGAGAAGGCCAGACGCTCGAGACCCGGCTCTGCTTCAGATGTATAGGTCGGATATTTTTGTGCTTCAGACATGCCCAGTCCCACAGCTCCTGGCGCGTAGCTGTTGTTTGGCATTTTGACATTTCGGCACATATTCGATCTTCGCTGCAAGTATGTCGCGAATCTGCAGCTCAATCGGCCCTGGAAGCACGGCTATTGGCTGGCAAGGAGCCCCTCGGCGCTTCGCCGTCGGTCTCGAGATCCTGCAAACAAATTAAAGCGCTTTCGGAGGATCAAAGAAGACTGAAGACTCTTCTGACTCTTGGCTTGAGGACTCTTCCCTTCTATGTGGAGGTTATACAGGAAGTGGTCCATGCTCCCCACCGAGTCGACGTCGGGCTTGAATCTTCACTTTGTTTTAGACTCAGGGTAGGGATCTCAGCGGCTAGAAAGCTCTTGTTAGTCACACCGGTGTACTCACAACCCTAAGGTATGTGCCACTATGGCTACGCCGGGGATCGGAATCCATATACGGAGCACATTGCCCGAGTTAGGGCACTCCGACACCGATCGATCTTATCTTTCTTCAATTCTCGCTCGCCAAGCTCGGTTACCGAGCTCAATACTGGACAGATGGAGTCTGCACTGGGGCAGCGGGTGCTGATTCGACTCAAAGTTATCTGATTTTTATCTGATTTCTCCGGTTACTCCACCGGGTGGATTCCATCTCGTTGGCATGAGACAAATTGGTGGGTTCTTTCGTGAGGCCTCGCGGACTGAGACCGACTTTTCTTCTCACTTTCCCCTTTAGACCATGGTGGACGGAGTAGCCCGCGAAGAGGGCTAAGTACTGTAACCTTGGACGTGAGTGGAGATGCTGATCGCCTACAAAATTTGCGTGACGTTTTGCTACAGTATGGACATGGACAGCTGATCATTGCGACTGAAAAGGCTACTGGCAGCATCAACCTTCGTGCTTCCGACTAATCTAAGTTATGTATTGCCTGCACGATGATTGAATAGTTCAGTAATACACATCTCCCCCTATGAGCGTTCACCATCTACTTTTTGTGTGCCCAATCATAGACTCCCATACTTAGCCACAGATACAGGATTCCTTTGATGGAATACCCAAGTGACTCGACCGGGTAACATTGGACGTCATATTGTTCTTGGAGGGATTTCTCTTCTTCTCTTAATATTTCTCTACATCCCGCTTGATTCTCTCGTATATTCTCTGCTAAATATCTAGTGCAGTGTTCTAGCAAATTACTCGCCTCCACTGTGGCTTGGCGACCCATCGGCAATACTTAATTCCAGGTCGCGGCTTCGGAGGCTGACTATTATTTTGCAGCCTTCAGGGGGCCTTCCGCTTTTTCTCCAACTTTTAAGAGGGGCCTTGAATTTCCCAGTCACTATCTTCTTCCGGTATGTCTTTTTGTTACTCAATGGCTTCGTGAGTGGTGCAACTAACCAGGAGAGAAAAAGTCCCCGTGGAAGGAAAAAATAGTCGTGGAACCGCCTCCCTGAACACCTCGTGTGAACTACGAGGCCCCCGTTTAGGTCCTTAACTAAACCTACTCTGACACTGGTTTTGGTGTAAACAAGTCAATCCACGACGGCTTTCCACGCAGGTTCTGGTCCCTGCGGACCGTCTTGAACTACCCTACGCCTTCAACAGACGTCTCACCGCTACCTCCGACTCGTCACCATGGCTACCTCTTTTATTTCCAAACGACTTCGCTCCACCGAGGAGGAACAGGAGGCCGAGCCCGGTTGGCTTCGACGCCAGATTGTCTCTGGCCTGCAGTCAATCTCTCGCCGTGCCTGTGTGCACCCCATCCACACCATTGTGGTGATTGCCCTCCTTGCCAGCACGACCTACGTTGGTCTCCTGGAAGGCAGCTTGCTGGATACCGTCCGAGACCCGCGTAGCGTCGCTGGTCAGGTTGACACAGATGCTCTCCTCCAGGGAAGCCGCAATCTGCGGCTGGGCGAGTCTACTTCGTGGAAGTGGCAGGCGGAGGATGTCTGGACCGACTCTGAGGTAAGCGGCCACCGCCTTTTATTCTATTTGGATCAATTACTGATAAAATGCTATAGGTTGAGAAGCCGGCGGCTCAGCACCTGGCACTGGCCACCTTGATTTTCCCGGATTCTACCTCCACTGTTGTGACTGCTCCCGCCTCCGATGATGTGCCAATCCCTGCCAACATCTCCGCCACTTCGGTCCCGTATACCCCCAACCTCTTCTCGCAATTCACCCACGACTCTGCCCTGGCCTACACCGTGTCTTTCGACCAAGTGTCGGAGCTTTTGAAGGCGGTGCAGGAGATCCCCAACCCGTCTGCGGATGAGGAAGAAGAGGAGTCTAAGAAATGGATCATGAGAGCTGCTCGTGGCCCCGCATACGGATCCCGCAGAGCTGTGAAGCTTTGGTTCGCAGACGCGTGGGGTTCATTTGTGGATCTGATCAAGCACGCCGAGACCATTGACATTGTTATCATGGCTCTCGGCTACATCTCGATGCACCTGAGCTTCGTCTCCCTCTTCTTCTCGATGCGCCGGTTGGGCTCCAACTTTTGGCTTGCGGCTACCGTGCTTTTGTCTGGCTCCTTCGCATTCCTCTTTGGTCTGCTGGTGACCACCAAGCTCGGTGTGCCCATTAACCTCCTGCTGCTCTCCGAAGGCTTACCCTTCTTGGTTGTTACCATTGGATTTGAGAAGCCAATCATGTTTACCCGGGCAGTTCTGAACGCCTCCGTGGATAATCGCCGACCTCGTCCCGGTGCTGCTCCTCGCCCTCTGGCCTCGAGCACTCCGCGGTCCATTCAGGAGTCTATCGCAGCTGCAATCAAGGACCAGGGTTTCGAGATTGTCCAGCACTACTGCATTGAGATTGGCTTGTTGGCTCTGGGTGCCGCATCTGGTGTTCAGGGCGGTCTCCAGCAGTTCTGCTTCCTCGCGGCCTTGATCTTATTCTTTGACTGCGTGCTTCTCTTCACATTCTACACCACCATCCTCTGCATTAAGCTCGAGATTACTCGTATCAAGCGTCACGTGGCTCTGCGCAAGGCTTTGGAGGAGGACGGCATTACCCACAGTGTCGCTGAAAACGTTGCCTCCAGCAATGACTGGCCTCGCGCAGGATCTGGTAGCACCGAGGCTGATGCCAGCATCTTTGGGCGTAAGATCAAGTCTAGTAGCGTGCGCCGGTTCAAGATCCTCATGGTTGGCGGTCTGATCTTGGTCAACGTTGTGAACATGTCTGCCATTCCGTTCCGTAACACCGGTAACGGTGGTCTCCTGTCCCGCTTCTCCAGTGTCTTGGCTCCTACCCCCATTGATCCTTTCAAGGTGGCAGAGAACGGCCTGGATAGTGTGTATGTTGCGGCCAAGAGCCAGAAGCAGGAGACCATTGTCACCATTCTCTCGCCCATCAAGTACAAGTTGGAATACCCCTCGGTCCACTACGCAGCTCCCACGGAGTCTAGCTCGTTTGACATTGAATACACCGATCAGCTTTTGGACGCTGTGGGTGGAAAGGTTCTTGAGAGTCTCCTCAAGAGCGTCGAGGACCCTTTCATTAGCAAGTGGATTATCGCTGCTTTGACCCTGAGCATCATCCTCAATGGCTATCTCTTCAATGCTGCTCGTTGGAGCATCAAGGAACCCGAAGCCGCCCCCACTCCTGTGGAGGTCGTGGCTGCACCCAAGGTCTACCCCAAGTTTGAGCCCAACGAGGAAAAGTCTACCCGCACTCCCGAGGAATGCGAGGCTCTTCTAAAGGAGAAGCGTGCTCCGATTCTTACCGATGAGGAACTGATTGATCTTTCTCTCCGTGGAAAGCTCCCCGGCTATGCCCTGGAGAAGACCATGGAGGATGAGAACCTGATGAGCCGTGTAGATGCCTTTACTCGTGCGGTCAAGATCCGCCGTGCTGTTGTCTCCCGTACTCCTGCCACCGCTGCTATCACTGCTACTTTGGAGGAGTCCAAGCTCCCGTACAAACATTACAACTATGGTCTCGTCCACGGTGCTTGCTGTGAAAACGTTATTGGTTACCTGCCCCTTCCTCTCGGTGTTGCTGGTCCTATCAATATTGATGGTCAAAGCTACTTCATCCCCATGGCTACTACCGAGGGTGTGCTTGTGGCTTCCACCAGTCGTGGTTCCAAGGCCATCAACGCTGGTGGCGGTGCCGTGACTGTCCTGACAGGCGACGGTATGACTCGTGGCCCTTGTGTTACTTTCCCTACTCTGGCTCGGGCTGCCGCTGCCAAGGTCTGGATCGATTCTGAGGAAGGCCGCAGCATTATCACCGCTGCTTTCAACTCGACTAGTCGCTTCGCCCGTCTCCAGAGCCTGAAGACTGCCCTTGCTGGTACCTACCT